TCCGCAGAAACATCATAATCGGACGACAATAATAAACGAATGAAATAATACGTTTTTATGATGTGAAATGTTCAAGGCAGCGGGAAAGCGATAGGAGATTTCCTCCCACCGAATCATCGCTGGGAAGTACTACAAAGTCTCTTAGTAGTGTGCAAATTGGCAGATAATAAGAAACATTATTTAATTCTAATAAAGGAAGCGAACAAACATACAACAAATTATAATTGCACCATTTTAAAACCAAACTTTGTTCAATTTCATTTATTTAGCTGTCATTTTCAACATAATTATTGAACAACCAAACAAATAATCGAGTTTATGGAAATTATTATTGACACTTTTTGATGGATGCATTAAATTTCCATTTGGCAAACACACACACTTCTTACTCTCTTTTCCCGGAGACCTCCTTCCAGACAGAAGAAGTAGCAGCTTTTAACAAAGGGCGCACTATAATTAGAGCCCGCGATTTACGACTGTTTGTTGTCGGCATTCGGCCTTTTTGTTCTGGTTCTGGTTTTGAGGTACCTTCTCAAACAAAATCCATTGCCCTATGCACATTTGTGTAGACAAGCATCAATGTGGCCGTTGCATTGGTATGTGCGAGGATAGCCAGATAAATTCACTACAGAATCTGAAATCTTCCCTTGCAATTTCCATCTAATCCTGACACAGTTTTGCTCGCTTGCATCCTCCACTCATCCTGCTTGCACAACGGCAAATTTCTATCGAAAACATAACTCTTCTTGATGAATTATGCAAAGTGGACACACTACATTTTTACATTGTACACATGTTTCCACACTTGAATGTTGAATATTTTGCATTTGTCGCTCGTGTCTCCAAGGGGGGGCTAAATAAATACATGTGAACATGCAACATATCACGTTCGCAGGTGCATTATATATGCGTATATACTACACATGGTAGAATCCTTGGGCCAGATTGATTTTCCTTGCTGACTCTGCCTCTGCCATTCCCCATTCCCCTGCCTTGGGCTGTGGTGTTTGCTGTTGTTGCGCATTGTGGTGGCAGGTTGGGTTCTTTACACATTCTCTTATTGATTTTTTGTATTTGCCTTTGACTCTTCTTTGTTTTCGCCCTTTTTTTTCTCTCTTGTTTGTTGTGAAAATCATTTTTCTGTTTGCTTTTTTTACGTTCCGTTTTAATTGCATTATGCAGGAAAATCCAAGAGACAGTAGAGGGTAATTTTGGGTGGTGCAGGGAAGGTAACTTCATTTGGGACAGGATGTGGGCACAGCGTCCTGTCATTGTTGTGACCAAAAGTTCAAACTTTCCTTTTAGCTTGTTTTGCAAGTGTTGGAATTTTCCGCATTTTCACAGATTGTATTGTAAAATAAATGGATGAGAGCCGACAGCTCTCGTTGAAATTTGCATCAAGTTGCAACATTTAAGGACTTCCACATCATGGAAAATAAGCATGACATTTTTTAATATAAATTATCAGTTTTTCTTGTATCATTTTTCCTTCAGTTTAAGGGATAAAGTAAACCATTTCTCCCCCTAACATTTCTTTCTCTTTTACTTTTGCCTTTTTCTTTAATCTGGCCCGCCATAAATCTCTGCATGTGGCGGGCGATCATTAATATGGACAAGCTTATGGACACTATCCATACCTCTGAGCGGCACGTGTCCCCCTGCGTTCCATGATTCCCTTTTATCACCTTCCCACCTTCCCTTCTCTTATCTGTGCAGTGACTGACAAAAGAGTGGCACACAGGGTTCTGTTCAACTATTAACTTCTTCAGCAAGCAAAATACAGAAGACAGAAGCAAAAGAGAGAAATATATTGCACTTAAAGGATCAGCCACATAGAATGAAAAAGAGTAAGAGCTGTGTGGGAGTAGGATAAGAGGAGGAGAACGTAAAAATGCTAATCATTTGCTCATTAAATCCGCATCAGTCGCTGCCGCCGTCGGCGTCTTCGCTGGCGTCCCTGCCAGCATCGCTGCTAGTGTTAATGACAGGACAAACACCAGAAAAAGAGAGTAGAGAGTAAAGATAGACAGAGTGAGTGAGACCAGGCGAGAGAGAGAGAGAGAGAGTCTGTCTGCCCGGGCCGAATGAACGAACAGCTGTTATGTTGTGTGGCTTCAGCGAGAATTTTGGCACAAAGAAATTGAGAGAAAAAACAACAACAGCAAAGGGAGGCAGCAGGGCGAAGATATAAATAAAAGGAAATGTGGAGTTTCAGAAGGAGAACGAGACAGCAAGTAACAACGGGCATTTCAAGCAAAGGGCAAGTGAGGGTTACATTACAGTGGTTACTACTTCAAAGGGAATTTCCCTTTTGGGCTGCGCGGAATGTTAGGCCATACCATTTACAACCCCTTCTATGGACAAAATACATATGTTTACAGATAAGAGTTTAGATTATAATTTAGACAGAATTTCCTATCTGTATTCGCATGTTCCGGTGGTTTTTTTCTATCCACATTACTTTAGTTTTCCACTGTACTTACTGTATTTGCCAGAAAAGCACAGCAGCACCAGCAGCCTCTCCTCTCTCACTCTACGACACCATGCAGACGACATCTTAACGGCCTGTGAAATATTAGGCCCTGGGACTGGACTGGAATTGGGGCCTGGGGCAGGGATACATAACACTAGGGGCGGCCAGCGCAGAGGAGGAGGCGGGTGGCTGCCAAATCATCTGTTTTAAATCGATTTTCCTTGTTTTTGTTGGCTTGTGCTGGTAATATTTCTTTGTTGCTCGCTTTTCTCTCTCTCTCCCGAGCCTAATTCCAATCTCGTTTTTTATGTGTATGCGTCGTTTGTTTTCCACTTTTTCTTTTCGCTCTCTTCTCTAGTTTGTTGAGAAACTGCTAATGTTTCCCTGAGATGGGTCCTGTACCAGGGTTCGAAGGATAGCTAATATTTCAGGGCTTAAACGTATTTGTAATTTATCCAAATATTGGAGTCTACTCCCCCCATCTGTCCCCCTCTCTGATCCCCTACATTCGCCATTTAATTTACCCCAAAAGTAGCTACCAAAAATTGCTTCAAAATTTGTTAAACTTCAACAGCAGCCACAAAATCTCAGATCTACGCCTACGAAGCAACAGAGGGAGAAAAATATTTAAAACATTTTTCACATTAAATGAATCAAAAATTACTTATGCCACAGCTGTGGGGTGACCATAAAAGTCGAATCTTTCGCATTTGGACCTTTTCAATGAATCGAATTCTCATAATTTATGCAAATTGGCCGAAATGCCGGACAAAACGCAGAAAAAATTGAAATTTTTGTGGGTCAAAAGTAAAATACACATTTCTAGACACACACTCGCATGTTGTAAAGAAAGTTGTAAATTGTTTTTGTAGGAAATGAACAAAACAAAAAACTGATACATAGAGGGGAGAGTACACTGGTATTTATGGTTATGAAAAGGTATTGGATAAATGTGCTGTTTCGACCCACTGTACGGACACCAGTGTATAGCATCATATTAAAACTTGTTGAAACAATTACACATCCATCCCATTCGGATGTGATCTCAGATACGTGTTTCCTATCCCTCCACAGACCGCACCGAACCGCACCGCACAGAACGGGCCCGGCAAGAGCGGCTTTACGTGCCGCAAGCGAATGACTATCAGATAAAGCTCGATTGTAACAGCACATATAAAAAGTTTAAACTATTTCGTGGCGGGGACCAGTTTAAAATTTTATTGTTACGCTTGCGGAACAACAAAAACAACAAATATAATAGCAATGGCATGCGCTAAAACAAGAACAAGTCACGTCATGACTAACTACAGAAGCTAAAGCAACAACAAAACTGCAGCTGGGCAGGGGAAAGCAACCAAGAGGCACAAAGAGTGTAGAGGAGAGAAAGAGAGAGAGAGAGAGAGGCAGTGAGGAAGAGGCGTGAGGTATGCGTGCAATTCCAAAAATCAAACTGCCTAGAAAACGAGACCACAAAAGAAACACTCAAGAGAGTGAAGGTCAATAGCGGATCATAAAAAAATGCGATAAGGGGATGACAAAAACAAATAGAAGATGCCCAAAACTCACCTTTCGTGAGGGAAAAAGATAAGAATCAGATAAGTATCAACGTTTATAAAACAGAAATTGATTGCACACAATACTTTTGTGACGCACTGTATGAAGGGCGGAGAATATGGAACAAAACAAAAACCAACAAAGGCAAGAGATTTGGAAGCCGAAGAAGAAAAAGGGCAACAGTAACAGTTGAACCAAGCAGCAGAAGCAAAAGAATAATAATAATAAACGCATAAATAATAAACAAGCAATAAAAGAAACAGAGCCCGCAATCAAAGCAAAGTAAATGCCAATCGTGAATCAATGCAAAGAAAATGATTCCAATGACTAACTTAATTCAAATGAAAGGGAGTGAGGGGGAGCTTCTCCTACCAGCCACCTAACAGCCGTGTCACAATCGAGTAACTATGACCGTGTGCGGGCAATTACGAGTACCGATGGTCAGGGTAAGGGTTACCTATTATTCAGTTTTCAGGGGTGCGGGGTGAAGGTCGAACTGGTGATGGAGGGGGTGTTTAAGTGTGTATGTAACACTTGACTGTAAAATATAGAAAACAATGCACCTGCTATCTATTGTTATTCATTTGAACGAATTATTATTGCTTGAATTTTTAAGTAACTTAAAAAACACCTTATAAGTCTCCACACGATCCAAAAGTATTTCAATCTATGATTGACTTTATTTATCTTAATTTACTCTAATCCTTTTCTCCTTTGTTTCTTGTTTAGCCTCTTGATTTTATAAACAGCAGCAACTGATCCCCTCCCATATCCCTCTATTTCCATCTTCTTCTACAAAGTCCAGTATCCATGATCAATTTTACATATAATAAAGTGCACATGTACATGTGTGTGGGTATATGTACATATATTGTCTCCTGCCTTTTAGACTTTCATTTCGCTTTTTATAATCTTTCCTATACGGTATCTATCGGTTATCATAAAGGATGATTGACATTGCCAGGATACTGACCTCTCTCTCTGTCTCTCCACCTCTTGCCGCTCTCTCTTTTATTTTTTTTTTGCTTTTCCAGAATTTCCCCTGAATCCGGTTGAAATTTGTTTACTTTTGTTGCAATCTCCTAAGGATTTACATTTGTTTTTGTTGTTAGCGGTATTTTATTTCGTCAGGTTTTCGTTCTCCGATTTTTGGGTTGGGTAAAAAACAGGACTCGTTCGCTCTTTCCTTTGCTCTCTGTGCGCGCGCGCCTTGGCCAATTGATTTTCACTTTTGGCAATTGTCAAAAAAACCGAAAAAAATCATAATAAAAGAAAACAACAAGAAGGCAGGAATTTTCACTTGTGCCACTTTATGTGGCAGCAGAGCCCCGTCGTCGTTGTTTTCTTGCAGGGAACAGGTTTCTGCTTTTGTTTTTGGCTTTTGCCTTTTGCCTGTCTAAAAAACAAGAAATTCCTACCACGTTTTTTGCCTCTCTTTCTCTCTATCACTGCGTACCTTTTCCTTTGCCCGTTGACTTTGCCTCTTTTCACTAAGATGCTCGCACACACAAACGCGCACGCACAAACACACGGACGCACCAAACGGCAGCGACGGCGACGACGCCGGCAGCGCTACTTTGGCCAAACAACAAAAATTCTTGCGCTGCCTGATTTTGGTTTTGCTATTGGCTATTGGCTTTGCTCTTTGCGGAGGCGAACCGGTTTTGTTTCGTTTCTGTTTTTGCACTTCACTTGACGAATTTCGATTGATTTTGAGACAACATATCCGAATATTTTTCAAAACGGATTTAGAAAATGCTTGCACTGGAATCTTATTTCAATACTTGATGCACCGTTATTTTTCTATCATCTTCATCAGGCACTTGCATTCTCTGTGTTCCCGTCTCACTCGCACGCACAGAAGAAAACGCGCAGATCAACCTCTTGAAATTGAAAATCTAATTGATGTACGCATATATTTTTCAATTTTGTTATGTTTTCAAATTTATCAATTTTTATCACTGATTTATCGGAATTTCTGATTTCAGAAACAAATTCGACACTACCCGCGTCCGTTCGTGTTCGCGCTAAATTTCAGTGTAACCATACTTTCAGTGTGACAGCTTGGTTTTGTTGTCATATCGTGAATGGGTAATATTTCCTTATTGTGAACGTGCGCATAAAAGGTGCGCGAAATAAGCCACCTTACAAACAGAAATACCCTTGATCAACTTTCAAATTGTTTTCTTTCCTTAATTTTGTCTTAAATTTAACAAATTAATGTGCAAATATTGTGGAATTAATTAAATAATTAAATAAAAATTAACTTATATAATTAAATATATAAATAATTACTAAAACCCTTATATTGTCTATAGTTTTTTTATTTTATTTTATGTTTGGTGATTCTCATTAGTTTTTCATACTCCCTTCGCAGAGGAAGAGAGCTTTCAAAACTCCCTTATTTGTACCAAAAAATAAGGTTATTAATATATTTTATTTGTTTGATATTTAGTTTTTATTCCGACATACGTCATGTTATATGAATCCTTAAACAGGTGCAGAAAATGTGGGAGTTTTGAAAAGTTCGTCCTTTTTTACCTTATTGCCATACCTTGCGAATCACATGCCAAAGAGAGGATTAGGTGAGCAGAGAGAGGATTAGGTCAGCAAAGAGAGCAAGAGACTCTCTCCTCTTTCTCCTCATTTTTGCGGCTCAATATGAGCACAAATATACCAAAAATAATATACGTTCACACTTACAAACACTATTCCTCGATTTTGATCTTCCATTTAATATTACCAGCTAGTTAGAGCTCTCAACACAAAAACTATAATTTTAATTGACTAATGAATGAATTCTCCTCAAGATTTACTAGTTTTTATGGCTTTCTTGTATTGGATTATTTACAAAATAAGGTTTGCTCCTTGCGAAATTTTAGTGCAGCCATATATATAAAATCCACCCAAACCATAGAGTGCACTCATTATTGCGTTACATATATGAGCTGGATGCAGAGAAATATCGATAGTGGGAACAACTTGGCGGCAGCAAACTCTTAATTTGAAAAGAACCCACGTACTTAGAATTACCTTCAATAATTAAATTAAATATATGTGGCAAAGGAACGTAGGTAACTTAAGATGGGACACATTTTCTTCACTGAAAAACTGTACTATCGTTTTTCTATTTGATTACGTTTTATACTGTCCTGTCTATTTCTTAGCCCAATTTTGGACACTTGGGAATTTCGGTCCGTTTCGTGAAGGTTTTTCCTCGTTTTTTTGCTCTCTTCCTAAGTATCGTTTATCATTTTCCTGACATTCCGCCAATGCATGCAGCTCAGGTACTTTCTTGGGTGGTGCAGGCGGTTATGGCCCGGCCCTATGGGAGGGTGTGGTCGTTGTTGTTTCATTCACTGGAAAGCCTTTTTTCCCCCTTTTTTTTAGTTTTCATCCTAAGTTGTTTTTCTTAAAGTTTGCTTCTGGAGGCGCCGCCAGTCCCCGAGATTTGGCATTTTTATTACCCGAAATGGAAGACGTTTAAACAAAATTGAGTCAGCAAAACATTTTCACAGAACTATACATTTATATAAATATACCCTGCTCGTAATCATTCAATACTTCAATCCATTTCTTCTCATTGGCTGGCTGTCTGCTTATTTTCTTTATTTTATGTAAATCTTTCGCTCATTTGTTCGTCAGGAAATGAAATTGTTGACTGAATACACTTAAGCGACCACCAAAATACTGACCTCCCTTAGGTCAGCGCCGAGTGGAGATGGCATGGGATGGGAAGTGCTGATAATGGCAGTAGGGAAGGCAGTTGCGTTGCTGCGGTAGTGGCAGTGGGAGGCAGTGGGAGACTGCATTTTGTATAGAAAATTTCCAATGTGGCCACTAAATGAAGCTTTTCGCTGTTGCCGTTATATTTCGTGCCTCTAATAATTCAGCGAATTTCCATTAGGATTTCCATTGACGAGCCAACCACAGACTTTGTGGTTGCCGCAGTATTATTTGGTTGAAGGTAGGTAGCTAGATAGGCCTGAAATTGCAATTATGGCCGCACCGCCCCGCCACCCAATTCATGGCACCCTTTTCCGGTTGAATTCATCAGCAGCATCAAAGGATTAGAACACACATTCCATTGCCTCTATCTGTCTCTGCCACTGCCTGACAGCCCATACTCGCAGATTTGCCAGAGTGTGTACGTTTCCCCATGTGTTGTTGATCAGACTGTACCGTTTGTAGCTATACCTATCAAGATGAATTCAAATTAATACAAATCGATGGCCTTGACATATGCAACCAGTGTAACATGCTAAGCTCTGTACAGTTGGGTTCCTAAGTATGTATTTCAAATATTTAATTTAAGATAGAATCGACACCCACAAGTCTTTCATGACTTTAGCAGCTCTTGGCACATTTTCTGTGCACTTTTCACAGTTTTCAACTAACAATGGTTTCTCGAGGAGGTAGAAAAGGAAGCGAAGAGGAGTCAAAGGCAGAGGCAGATTATAACAGTTGTTAAATTGTTCCCACTATTGCCGGTTCATGCGTGCTAAGAAAACAGTTTGAGATCCACTGTACCTGCTAGATGGATGTTTCGTAGCCCGCAACCAATGACTGTTTATGCGCGATTTATGAACCGGGGCCGGCCACTGCAACGGGCTCTGGCTGTTGGTGCAACATGCATGAGGCATGACACGCCCCGCCCCCACCACTAGCAACTAGCAGCGCTTTCATAACGGCCCACGCTGGGTGGCAGCTTCACTTCGTCTGGATCCGGTCGAAAGTAGCAGATGAACAAACATTTTGTACGTACAATAAATAACAATAAGTACTTGGATCGTGTTGGGATAGCTTCGGGCTGACCTGAGGATTGCATTAGCTTGTGGCAAGCACAGATACATAGTTGATATATAATCTATCCATAAATTACTCTAAAAAGTTTCGATGTAACCCCAAAAACTCAACACTCAGACTTCTTCTTTTCCTTTTTGTTATTTTTTGAACACTTTGTAGGATTGAGGATGCTTCTTTCTTGCAGACAAATACGAGAGTCCCCGAGATGGATCAATGTTTGGCGCTCAGCAAAGCAGAAAAATGCCCAGAAATGGTGGCAAGTGAAAGTCCGACCAGACCCACAGACAGACCCAGAGCCAGACGCAGACTCACAGACGCTCCGTCGCTTCGTTCACATCTCACTAACCTCGTGATTTACATTTGCATTTTCATTTACATTTACCGCAAACCTGACTGACTGACAGACGAGGGACAACGAGGGGCAGGCGACGGGCAGGATGGCATGGGATGTGGGCTGTGGGCTGTGGGCTGTTGGGCGTGGCATGCGTCGAATGCAGAGACCAGCAATCTGCATGGACGTTGAGGAAAGTGAAAATTGGCTCAGATATTCCGGGCTAAATGAGCGAAAGTGATCGCAGAGTGTGCAAAAAGTGTTGAGAGTGCAGGAAATGCTTTGAGAAGCATTTAGCGATTGGCAATGCTTTTCCAACTGCATTAAATTTCAGTTTTTATTTCGTTTTCATCACACAGCTACAGTACCCAGTCCCCGTCCCCCCATCCACCCGTCCCGTACTTATGCAACAAGATTATGATTGAGAGATTACCATTTGAGAAAAGTTCGCGTGAGGCACTGCCAGATGTGAATATGAATAGATGTAACCTTAAATGTAAATGTAAAGAAGAGCAGAGAAAAAAGTACTCCCGAAAATGTGTCCCAAAAAGTAATCAGTTAATGAGGAATTTATGCAAAATATTTAGACACACAGCAGAAGGTTTGTTGAAATGGGAATTATGCAATGAATTTATGTCCTTCAGTTTACCCCCCAACTCCTGTGCATTGTCAGCACTTACAACGCGACCTGAGAAAATTGTTATTCATAATATTAAACCAGACCCAGACCCAGACCAGCCGACCAGGACAAGGCAGGGTAACAAATCCTTGGGGATTGCCATGCCATCGTTTCAGTTGTTCCTGCTATTTTTAGGCATCAAGGTTGGTTTGGAGGAGGAGGAGGAGGATAAGCAGGATGACAGGAGATGGCAAGCAAACTTCCCGTTTCGCGTTGTTTTTTTTGTGTCAAACTTTTGTCCATCGCAGCTCGCAGCTCACCAGTGGGTCTAGAAAAAAGACAAAGAAAGGAAAAAGTTTGGATATGGGGGAGACAATTTAAGCAATAAAGCATACGCAGATTGCTTACGGTCCACTGCTTTCCTTGCTGATAAACCACTCCAGGCTGCTTGTTCAACTGCTTGCCAACAGCTGAAGGGACACACTAATAGGAAGCTTACAGTTTTGTAATGTAATTTTACACTGCCTAATGATTCTCAATTTATGTTGTTCAACAACGGCAGGAATGTTCCACTACGTCACATCACATGAAATATACAAAGAGAAACACACCAAATAACATAGATCATTGGCATTTCGATATCACGTGACTGCGAGGTAGTGGCCAATTCCCGAAACGTTTTAATTCAAAGTCAATAACCTGTAAAATTAAATAATAAGGGGGAAACTAATATTCAGTGGCAGACTTCATAAAGGAAGTCGTCTACAAGTTGCGACTTAAAATATATGTATGCTTCCAACTTTGTTTTTCTTACACCCACAGTTTGCACCATGCACAATCACTTTTCTTCATAATCCGACTGTTGACTGGCTCTCCCTCTTCGCCCTGCTGCTCTTTAATCTGCTGCTGCCTTTGCTTGTCATATAGCTGATTTTTCTCCTGCTCCATCTCCCCGCTATCCACCTGCCTTAGCCAACTGCTAAGGAATTTGTATGCTGTAACGTGAGGGCCTCCCAAAGATGATGTTCGTGGAGGGAGAGGTGAAGCGGCACACATTAGATGCTCTTAGAAGAGATGCAATACCCCATCTTACATTAAAACACCTTGATTTTCAACAGGAAAAGAGATAGGACGAGCTCGCAGGAGAGAGCGAGAGTGAAACAAACGAAGCGGTAACATTTTTCTTGTCCCGCTACCATCCAACTATCCCCGGATTTCTTTTACCGTGTATTTTCCCATCATTTGCATGTTATTAGCCACCATTTGAACAGGGAAGGGGAGGAAAGAGGTGGAAAGGCAAACGGGTTTTAGTTCCAAACTATCAGCATTTGATTCACTAACCTCACCCCCTCTGTCCATGAAGTAGATATGCAAAATCAAAAGTGTTCTTCATTCCTCTACTCTGGCTCTTTCTCATCCTCTTTTCGGACAGCTTTTCGCGCGAGTGGCCGCTTATTAGTATTTGTGCACAGGATGAAGGATTTTCGTGAAGGATTTGCGGCATTTTGCTCAAATATTGCATTTGACAGGGAATGGTGGGAAAAGGGAACCACCACCGCATAAAAGAGAAACGGGAAAGTGACACATTTTGAGGGGATTGGGATTTGGAGCGCTTGATGCAAGCAGTGTTCGGTTCCGTTGCGGACTAAAGTTTGAGTCGCACTCGAAAAATATATTTTATAGCTAGAGATATTTCAAAATGTATAAGAAAAGTTGTTGCAATTAAACCAAAACTAGCATAGCATAGCATATCATCGCAGTAAATTCGTATATGGATGAGTTATAGGAATCAAAAGAAGGTTAAGCTACAACCACAGATTACAGTTCGAGGAACACTGCTCTTACCAAAGCAGTTTAGAGAATCAGCAGTAGAAGGAACAGCTTGAAGCTGAAGATTTTAGTTTCAGCCTGTGCTGAACTTAAAATTGAAGATCATCAAGGTAATCTGACAGTTGAACAGTTTTAGTTTTACTGCGGGCAAGAGTTGGTGAGACACTGCTGTTGAACAAATTATGGCCCAATGTGCAACAAACTGGCCAAAAAATTAGGTTAAACAGAAAAAATAATAACGCACATGGGGCCAGCATGTGGCAACCGAATGTGGCTGCTGCTTGCTTGCTTGCCCGCTGGCCCAGTGGGTTTCTGGTTCGAACAAATTGCCGCAAATTAAGACCGTCGCACAAAAACTATAAACAAAAATCCCCGGCAGGTGGTAGTAGGACCTGGCCAGTCCAGACCCGCCACCAGCAGCAGTTAAAGACATTTTTAAATCAGATTCGATTTGCGTCTTGGCATTTGGCGATTTACGGATTGGACTCTGGCAATTGGCTGGGCTCTCCACATAATTTTCCAATTGCGTAAGCAGACAAGCTGGGAAAATGTCCCAGAAAATAGCCAGCATGTCTGTCATTGGGTAAAATTCCCATCGGGCCAATGAAAACGATTTTGGGATTTTTATTGAATTTAAATTTAAATTCAATTTGGGTTCAAACTTGTATGGATTCTGCTTTAAATAATTGTGATACATTTTGATCTCCTCTTCTTTTGTGCCAATTTTGGAGGTTGGAGTCCTACGGCTGACACTGATTTATGCTTATTTTTTATATCCACGAACGATCCGTTGCTGATCAATTACGGCGCGGTACTGAAGTGCACAAAACTCGACCAAGTCGCCATACCCTTACACCACAAAAAAAGATATATGAACATGTACATACAGTCCTGTACATAAAATGTAATTAAATATATGCCAAACACGAGTGACAATGCAAATGAAAAAGCAGATTGCAAAAAATAGTTAAATTACTGCCCAGTTCCAGTTGCAATGCTCTCCAGGCTCCCCTCTGTTCTTTGTTTCCTTTTGCCACGATCGAAAATTTGCCGAGTCGCCAAAAAATGAGATTAACCCTTTGGAGCCCATCAATCCCAAGTAATGGAACGGAAAGATTGATTGGAATCCATGGATCCACTTTTCCGGGTATGTGTGGATGCTGTGCTCTGGCAAAAATAAAACAAATACATGATTCTGATTAATAATGTGGGATGGCTGATATATACTCAAAACTCGTGTGCCTCGCATAAGATCTTTTTATAATCCATGTACATACATACATTAATAAATACTTTAATAATAAGTAAAGTAATTTTAACTGCTGAACCCTATTGACAGAATGGGTTAAGTTTGTCTACGTAGTCGAGCATGAAAATACCAAGAAAACTCAGATATACAATCATACATACATATTCATATGTATAATCCCTGGGACTTCAATGAAATTTTAGCTTCAACCACATAAAGTGTCCACGAAATGCATTTCTAAGCAAAAAATGCTACAGTTGGACAGTCGCTGGCTCGTAGTCGTGTGAACACACGTATTTACATAACGTCAGTCTTGGCCGCTTGCTTTTGGCATTGGTTTTTTATTATTTTATCTGAACGCACTGCACTTTGAGAACGGAAAAACGTTTTTCAAATTCCCTGGAATTTTTGGTGATTGGATAACAATTTTCTCACGCCGCTATAGCTTCCTGTTATCTCTTTCTCTGTCTGTTATCTAGGGACAGGTACATGAAGTCTGGCCATGAATAAAGAAACCAAAAACCAAGCTAAGGAATTCGCAGACCTCTGCAAATGTACAAGTTATATGAAATGATGACACTTGACTCTGTTAAGATATTCCCAGAACTGGTTTGATCAGCGGTAAATTTTTATTTCATTAATGAATCCTCAAAAATTCTATATCAGAATCTATGATTTGTAGAATTCTGGAGCATTCTCATTTGCAGCACTCGCTTCATTTGGGCGCAATGAACAGCCTTACCATAAGAAGTGGAAAATCACGCTTATAAATGAAACTTTCATCATTTGAATCTTGGAGTTGTGTTTTTTTTATTACAGTTAAATAACATTTTATCAAGCAACAATCTACATGGCGGCTGCAAAGATGAATTAAAAATTAGAACTAACTTAAGTTAATTGGGAAGCTCGTACACAATTATATACAAAATTGTACGATTCGATGTACGCACAAAGTAGGCGTATTTCGGGATGGTCTAGTTCTACTTCTGACTCTGCTTTGAAATTGACAGGCTGGTCGGTTGTAGCTTGACAACCTTCGAGTCTGAGGTGGCCTGGCTAGGACTCAGCTTGGCCATAGAGGAAATATTGACGACACGGCGTACGGCTGCGCCGCCAGGAGTGGTGGATGCTGGAGACGACCCAGCAGACGTACGATTTGCCAGCATCAGCACGGGGACCTGCTTGATGCCTGTGCCAGACTTGATGCTCACATTCCCAATGGGCATCTTGCCATCTCCCGCCACTGTTGTGGACTTTTGCTGCGTTCCCGGGCTGCCACTGTTGATCACCTGAAACTGTGGGTACGTCTTGTTGCCCACGCTAATGTTGCCCGTATGACGGAGTGTGCCCGAGGGTAGGGTCGACGCTGTTGTCGCCGACTTGATCGCCTGCACATTCATGGGTTTTAGGGATCCTGTGGCGGGATCTAGCACGAGCGTACTGCCAGGGCTGCTACTGTTGACAGAGGCACCCTTCGGAGTGCTGCTGACAATGCGTATGGGCAGGCGCTGACCTGGCGTTACCATATTGCCCATCGGCTTCATCTGATTCCGATTGAGAATGACCACCTTGTTGTGGCCACCAATTGTGGTAGTCGTGCCACCTTGTGGGTTGGTGAACAGCTGCTGGATACCCTTGTTGAGGACAATGTTGTTGCCCACTTTAGTGACGAGCGGAGAGCTGTTTGGCTTGGCGCTATCCTTGATTATCTTCTGACTGATAATGATTGGACTTTTGCTGTTGGAGTTGCGACCGGGTGTGGCTGGCACTGTGGATTATAAAGTTTAGGTAAGAAACAATGTAAAGAGCGTATATCCCCCCCGAACCATCCTCACCTATCTTTGGATCCTTCTGTCCTTCGGGTATGTTGCCCTCATTGTCGGCAAACACAATCGGCATATCAATGATGCTCGATAGATCCACATTGCCTGACTGATTCTTGTTCAACTGCAGCATGGTCATGCCGCTGGCATTCTTGAACACCGTATACTTTTGTTGCGGTGGCGCCGCTCCTCCTGTTGATGTTGCAGCGCCAACTGGCGACGCGGTGGCCACAAATTTCGTTGTCTGCCCCGTCGGCGTCTTGAGGGTGAAGTACTGTTGTCCGCCCGCGGTGGAGCTGGGCAGAGTTTTCACAATGCTGCCAATGGTGGCCGCTGTGGTAGGCTTGTTCATCGTATAATTGATCAGTTTGCTTTGAGGCGTCAGGGATTTGAGTTGGACAAACTGATTGGAGGGTATCATCTTGATTTTGGTGCCAGCGGCCAAGTTAACCGTCGTCGGAAGCGACTTGATGGCTCCACCAGCCCCGGATGCGGTCACCTTGGGTATCAGCAATCCAGCAGCTACTCCTGTTAGGGACCCAGATCCAGTTGCCGTTGCAGCATCATCGCTGTCCAGACTGTCATCTAGTATGAATTCAATGGATTGATTTAGTGTCTCTGCGTCGATTACACCATTGTGCGGGATGCCAGAACCAGAGCCAGAGCCAGAGCCAGCTAGAGTGGCTGCATTCGGCTGTGGCAGTGGGCGTGTGCGAGGTCTTCCAACTGGAGGGGGTAAAACTGTTAGTCGGTGAAATGGGGCTGTGGCTCAAATAAACTGAATGTCGTTTGCACTTGGAATGAGTTTACCCTTTCGCTTGGGAGCAAATGGATCAACGAGACGCGATGCCTTCGGCCTGCGGCCTTTTTGTACAGAGATTGAAGATTTTGATTTGCAGGTTTTTGGGGTATTTATGATTTGATTTGGATTGGATTTGATTTGGATTTTAGTTGTACATGCGGGTAGGTATTAGTAGTGGGATAATGATCGAAATAATCGAGACAATACTCACTGTGTGGCACAAACTTGCTCTTGGCATTCGGCATTCCGCTCTCGTCCAGCCCACCATCAACCTTACGCTTGCGATTCTGCTGGTTTCCTACTCCTCCCTTGTCGTATGCCACGCCCTGCACCTTGTATTGGCCGCGCTGTATGCCTTGGCTGGGAAGGGCCGTGGGTACACGCGGACCCGGAGGATCCATCAGTGTTTTGTTCACAAACTCATAGATTTCGTCCTGTAAACGGAATAGCCACTGATAAGAGAACATTTCTTCGAGAACAGGCTTCGGTGGACTATCGACTTACCACCACCATGGCATCCACCATGGATTGGGTGACGCCCTCGATGCGTCGCTTGCTCTTGGGCACTCGCAGGGCATCGTCCGCACTGCCGACGACCACCAGCGAAGTTTCCGATTGCATACGCTCGCGCAGCGATTCCATTTCCTCCTGGCTGCTGCGTGCAGAGTTCTGCCCAATCACAAACAGAATGGGAGCCTTGATGTCCAGAATTCGGTCATCGGGTGCGCCACGAGGACCTCGCAATGTGTTGTAGGCAAAGCCCATGCAGACGACACAGGCCAGGCTCTCCGAGAGGGCCACCTGTAGGGCCAGTGAGGCGCCGGCATTGAAGCCGACCAGGATGATGCCACGTGTAGGATTCTCGGCACGCAGCTCGTTGATGCGGACACGCGTGAGGCACACAATGACTTCGGCCACCTGATCCAGATTTTGATTTGCAATCCTATTGTCTGCGGGGTCATACATAATGGTTAAGATACTCTGTTTTGTCACATGAGGCGGTGGCACTTACTCGTGTTGGGCAATGTGATTTGGACAACCTGACAGATTGTGGCCAGGGAGCGATACCATTTGCTCATCCGTTCAGGCACATGGCTGCTGGCAGGCATATTGGACAGCACCACCATGATGGCATTGTGCGGCAGCTGACGATTCTTTGGCAGAATAATTGGCTCCCAACGCTTCTTCATTACGGGAGCGAGCAGCTCCTGGTTATTGCTAAGCGGCCGACTAAACAGCAGCTTGTCCATCAGAGTTGGCAGCTTGGTTTTCAAAGTTTGCATCATGTCCAGATAGGAGGCCATGTACGAGGGCGGCAGGGACTGCATCAGCAGTGTATGCAGCCACTGAGTGATGCGCTGATCCCAGGCGACGCTGCCCAAGGCCCGACGCATCCGGGAAGCGGACTTGTCCACGCTCACACGACGATGCACAGCCTCGTGCTGGCGCTTATCGTTGGCCAGACGCGCCAACTGATCCATATCGAGTATGCTGCTAACCCGGTCGAACAGTGTCTTTTGTATCGGGCTCCATGTAGATCTACGGCGAGCAAAAAGGGGGTTGACAAACGTCCATCGTGGATGTGCAGCTTTATACTCACTGATTTATGCGTGCCACCCAGTCCTGCTCATCGGAATTAACATTCTTCACATACTTGGAGATTCTAGCGCACTCGTTCATCGATTCCTTGGCGGATATCTCATCGTAGGGTGGGGCATGTGTCTGCTCCGGCTCCTGTTCCTGCTGCGGATATGTATGGCAATTGGTGCACTGCGGCGGATGGTTAACCAGGATGTGGCGTGTGAGTGCCAGGCCATTGGATACCTCGTTACGTGGCACATCGCGTATATAACTGTGTTCCATTTTCTCGCCAAATGACGATTCACTGGGAGCCGAAATGGTGCTGGACTAAAGGGAGAGAGGAGAGACAGAAAATGGGCTTAGTTAGACTGGCTGGGATTTGGTTGCATGCAGTGCAGGGATGAGAAATGAAATATTGGTGGAATGGTTTTTTTTTCCCTTCGGATGAACATGAGACGGAACGATCAGGTGGTAGGTTTGCAGATGGAGGTGTCCTCTATACTCAGTCTTAAATTACACTCTCTGTGGGCGTTGAGGGGGCCGTTGTCACTATCACCGATCCGGGGCTGATGTGTATCGATTGTGTGGGGGATCTTATGGCACTGGCTGATCCCGTGGGAGCCTTGGGCGGCGAACTCATTTTTAGTGCGCCTGAAATCGAGGCGGCACTGCCCAAGGAGCCAGCTTTGACCACATAATACGAGGGTGTACCGACCACCGACGATTTGTTTGTTTTCGCTGTGCCCGTCAGCGATGCTGCCGCCGCTGCTGTTGTTGTTGGTCCCGTTGTGTGTGTGTGTGCGTGTGTTTGGGTGTGTTGTGTGCCTGTGTTTTCCGAAGAACCAACTCTGTTCAGGAATTTACTGGGACTGTATGTTATAATCGAAGATGTGGCCGGCGGGAACTGCACTTTCGGCTTATTGCTGCCGCTTTTGTTTACTGTTTGTTTCATTATTTTGTTGTCTGTGTCTTTACGTTTCGGATTTTGTTTTACTCGCTGCGCTGCCTGAAGTCGAGCTGATGCTTCTTCTTCCACTTGGCTGTACCACTCGCGGCGATTGGAGATTATTGAACTTCTGCTCGCAATTGTTGGCCCGGCGCACATGCAACTACCCACGCATGTAATTCAACTTCGAAGTGTTCGTTTAGGGAAACTACGACGTTTTTTTCAACAGCTTCAACGTGATTTTCGCAATTCGTTTTGTAAAATATGGCGTGCCCATGGCAAGAGTTGCCAGACCTGCGTACTGTGAAAAACTATTGCCCTGGCTTGGTCTGGCAGCACCAGGCTGCTGCTAGATGGGAGGCAAGTCGCAGATTTCCAAATATTTGCGAGTAATGTGAGCAAATTCATGCTAGCACAGGTACACTTAGAACGGAAAAACAATGCGAGGATATACTTACACCATTGCTGGGCGTAGGAGATAGGGGAGCTGTCCTTTCCATTCTGGACATTCGCGGCGGCTGTCCCTCTACCTTGGTGTCGTCCGAAGCAACGTTCTCCTCCACATTGCCGCCCTTTTGCACGAAATTGTTGAAGCAGTCGAAGAACGAAGCCATCACGTTTGGCACAACTGAACAAAGCAATAATTAATTGATGATTGTTGAAAACAATACGGAGAAACATCAAAAAGGCGAGCGTCAAGTCAAATATTCGTACTGATATTCAACTGGGGCTGCCACCATACACACAAAGCCGACTCAGTTAGCCAACACTGCAGCACAGAAACAGCTGATCAGGCGGCGTGTATTTCATTTTGTTTGTAAGTGCATTTGCAGTGGAAAATTTAACAAAAAATCGAAATAAAAGTAGATGCTCTGCCGAAATGGAGGAACTGCAGCAACTAGAGTACCTGTCGCTGGTCTCGAAAATCTGCACAGAGCTCGATAATCACTTGGGCATCAATGACAAGGACCTGGCCGAGTTCATCATCGATTTGGAGAACAAGCATCGATCGTACGACGCCTTCCGCAAGGCACTGCTCGAGAATGGGGCCGAATTTCCAGACTCCCTCGTCCAGAACCTGCAGCGCATCATCAACCTCATGCGCCCGAGTCGGCCGAGAGGCGGCAGCGAAGAGAAGTTTGACTCTGGCAGCGGCAGCAAAGATGACAAGAAATCGCAGCTCATGAAAATGTTTCCCGGTCTGGCCCTGCCCAACGATAAATACAGCCAGAGCGAGGGCCAGGACGAGAAAAAGGACGATAAGGCCAAGGAGAAGCATGCTGTGGGCAAAAAGCCCGACATAAGTGACGTGGACGCAGCCATGATGGAGCTGGAGGCGCTGGCCCCAGGCGAGGGCAAGACCGAGGACAAGAAGGAGCTAAAGGAGAGCAGAGAACGACCCCACAAGCGAAGAGATCGCAGCAGAAGTCGCGACAAGGACAGAGACACACGAAAGCGCAGCAGATCACGCGAGGATAGGGAGCGGAACAGGGAGCGCCGCAGGAGCAAATCGCGCGAGGACCGGCACAGGGAACGACGCAGGAGTAGATCTCGCGACAAGGAACGCCGCAGGCGTAGCAGATCACGTGAGCATCGTGATCGGGAACGCCGCCGAAGCAGATCCCGCGAAGATCGAGATCGTGGTCGTCGCAGATCCAGCTCTCGGGACCGCCACGAGCGTCGACAAAGGAGTCGGTCGCGCTCTGGTGACCGTAGCGATCGTGGCGATCGTCGCCATGACAAAATGCCACCTCCCAACACAGTAATGGCCGACGATCCGGAGGCTGGCAAGATCTACTCCGGCAAGGTGGCCAACATTGTGCCCTTCGGGTGCTTTGTCCAGCTCTTTGGGCTGCGCAAGCGCTGGGAGGGCCTGGTGCACATCTCGCAGCTGCGAGCCGAGGGCCGAGTCACCGACGTCACCGAAGTGGTCGCCCGCAATCAGACGGTGAGGGTCAAGGTGATGTCACTGACGGGCCAGAAGGTGTCGCTGTCGATGAAGGAGGTCGACCAGGAGTCGGGACGCGATCTGAATCCCCTCTCGCACACCCCAGAGGACGATGGTTCGCTGAGGGACCGCAATCCGGATGGTCCATTCAGCAGCAGCACCTCGATGCTGAATCTTCAGGGCAACAGCCTCGACGGGGATGAGAGCGAGTCGAGGAAACGCGTCACCAGGATCTCCAGTCCCGAGCGGTGGGAGATCAAGCAGATGATTAGCTCTGGCGTTCTGGACAGGAGTGAGATGCCGGACTTTGACGAGGAGACGGGTCTGCTGCCCAAGGACGAGGACGACGAGGCGGACATCGAGATTGAGATCGTCGAGGAGGAGCCGCCATTCCTCTCGGGGCATGGCCGGGCGCTGCACGACCTCTCTCCCGTGAGAATCGTAAAGAATCCCGACGGCTCGCTGGCCCAGGCGGCCATGATGCAGTCGGCTCTGTCCAAGGAGCGGCGCGAACTGAAAATGCTGCAGCGTGAACAGGAGATGGAGGCTCTGCCTACGAACCTCAACAAGAACTGGATTGATCCGCTGCCCGAGGAGGACAGCTCTCGCAATCTGGCGGCCAATATGCGCGGCATGGGCGCCGCGCCCGCGGAGGTGCCCGAGTGGAAGAAGCACGTGATTGGCGGCAAGAAGTCGTCCTTCGGCAAGAAGACAGACCTCACCCTGGTCGAGCAGCGCCAGTCGCTGCCCATCTACAAGCTGCGCGATGATCTGATCAAGGCCGTCACCGATAACCAAATCCTGATCGTCATCGGCGAGACGGGCTCCGGCAAGACCACGCAGATAACCCAGTATCTGGGCGAGTGCGGATTCACGGCGCGGGGCAAGATCGGCTGCACGCAGCCGCGTCGTGTGGCCGCCATGTCGGTGGCCAAGCGTGTGGCCGAGGAGTACGGCTGTCGGCTGGGACAGGAGGTGGGCTACACCATCCGTTTCGAGGACTGCACCAGCCCGGAGACGATCATCAAGTACATGACGGACGGCATGTTGCTGCGCGAGTGCCTCATGGAGGCGGATCTCAGCGGCTACTCGGTGATTATGTTGGACGAGGCCCACGAGCGCACCATCCACACGGATGTGCTGTTTGGCCTGCTGAAGACGGCCGTGCAGAAGCGGCCCGAACTGAAGCTGATCGTGACCTCCGCCACCCTTGACGCTGTGAAGTTCTCGCAGTATTTCTTCAAGGCTCCCATCTTTACGATACCCGGACGCACGTTCCCCGTCGAGGTGCTGTATACAAAGGAGCCGGAAACGGACTATCTGGACGCCTCGCTGATCACCGTGATGCAGATCCATCTGCGCGAGCCCCCAGGCGACATTCTGCTCTTCCTCACCGGCCAGGAGGAGATCGACACGGCCTGCGAGATCCTGTACGAGCGCATGAAGAGCCTCGGACCTGATGTGCCCGAACTGATAATACTCCCCGTCTACTCGGCACTTCCCTCCGAGATGCAGACGCGCATCTTCGATCCGGCACCCGCCGGCAGCCGCAAGGTGGTGATAGCCACCAACATTGCCGAGACTTCGCTGACCATTGACGGCATCTTCTATGTGGTGGATCCAGGTTTTGTCAAGCAGAAAGTGTACAATTCCAAGACGGGCATGGACTCCCTGGTGGTCACGCCCATCTCGCAGGCAGCGGCCAAGCAGCGGGCGGGCCGTGCCGGACGCACAGGTCCAGGCAAGACCTACCGCCTGTACACGGAGCGCGCCTACCGCGATGAGATGTTGCCCACGCCCGTGCCAGAGATCCAGCGCACAAATCTGGCCACCACAGTGCTCCAGCTGAAGACGATGGGCATCAATGATCTGCTGCACTTTGACTTCATGGACGCCCCGCCCGTGGAGTCGCTGGTCATGGCCCTTGAGCAATTGCATTCGCTGTCCGCGCTCGATGATGAGGGATTGCTGACGCGGCTGGGTCGGCGCATGGCCGAGTTTCCCCTGGAGCCGAATCTCTCAAAGATGCTCATCATGTCGGTGGCGCTGCAATGTTCCGATGAGATTCTCACGATTGTCTCGATGCTGAGTGTGCAGAATGTGTTCTACAGGCCCAAGGACAAGCAGGCGCTGGCTGATCAGAAGAAGGCAAAGTTCAACCAGGCCGAGGGTAAGTCACAGACCAACAAATGCCACTTGAATGCCATTCTAAACTCCTCTAACTGTTCCACAGGGGATCATCTTACACTGCTGGCCGTGTACAACAGCTGGAAGAACAACAAGTTCTCGAATGCCTGGTGCTACGAGAACTTTGTGCAGATTCGGACACTGAAGCGGTCGCAGGATGTGCGGAAGCAGCTGCTGGGCATCATGGACAGGCACAAGCTGGACGTTGTATCGGCGGGCAAGAGCTCGGTGCGCATCCAGAAGGCCGTCTGTTCGGGCTTCTTTCGCAATGCGGCCAAGAAGGATCCACAGGAGGGATACCGCACGCTGGTCGACTCACAGGTGGTTTACATTCATCCTTCGAGCGCGCTCTTCAACCGCCAGCCGGAGTGGGTGATCTATCACGAGCTGGTGCAAACCACCAAGGAGTACATGCGCGAGGTGACCACCATTGATCCCAAGTGGTTGGTGGAGTTTGCGCCTTCATTCTTCCGCTTCTCCGACCCCACAAAGCTCAGCAAATTCAAGAAGAACCAGCGCCTCGAGCCGCTCTACAACAAGTACGAGGAGCCCAATGCCTGGCGCATATCCCGCGTGCGGCGACGTCGCAATTAATTCAACTGGTGTTCCATCCATCTCCATTGTAGAATTATTTGTATTTTAAACACTTAGAAATAAATCAAATTCAGTTTGATGCTCAATAGCCTTTGCGTCCGCGAAAGCGTTGTCGGTTGTCCAGCTGAAATGGTGGAATAAATACAAGAAGATTTCAATTCTAGCATTGCTTTTCAGACAGCAGACATCTGGGAAACCCACCAGGGAGCGTTTGCATTCGTAGAAGGTGTTGCGCAGCACCTGACACTCGGGCGGAACGTTGTTGTCCATAAGACACTGGCGCGGCGTCTTGCGGTCCACTCGACAGCAATCGCTCTCCAACAGGCACATTTTCAGGTCGGCACGCACTCCGGCACAGGCTGTTTCGTCCGCCAACTTTTCGTTGCCCTCGTAGCGCATCATTTTGGGGCTGACTAGACGTACTTTTTGTTTAAATCTTTCAATTAAAATTAGTTACAAAACCAAATCCAGCTAAGACAACTGTGGTTGGTCAAGAGTGTTGGCAAGCGTCTTGCAGTACTAGATTTCTTTATCAGCTGACGACACGCATGTTGCGTTTAACAGCACTGTTACGAGTACATTTTTGTTGTTTTCCACCCGCACAAAAACATTAAATACTTTGAAATTGTATAAATGTAGCTGCAAGTCCTAGGAAAGACAATTGGCTAACTAAAAATGGCTTATGAAGAGCGCAGCAGTGACGGCAGCAGCTCCAGCGAAGCCCAGGACGCCTATGCGAACATGCTTGGCGGAAAAACGCCGCCGTCCCAGACGCCGGGTAGCACTATGCCAAAACATGTTCCCTTTCCGGAGCACTCTACCACATCGGAGTGGCTAAGCGAGCTGATAATGTGCGCCTTCACTCTCGGCGCCGCCATTGTGCAGTTCATTAACATCTATCGGACGAACTGGTGGCTGACCCAGGCCCACACAAGGCACATGGTGGTGGGTTTGCAGTGCCAAAGTAAAATATTTCGAAAGATTAAGATAGATTTGGTTTGGTTTTACTTTCAGAACATAGAGCTAATTGATCCGTACTTGCGATATCTAATACTCATACTGAATACACGAAGACTGGTCTACTGTGTCCTGCTGGCCAAGGTGAAGGCTAACGAGAAGACGCAGCACATAATTCGCACGGCGATCAAGTACACATTTGGCGGCCTGGTACAGCTGGGCCTGGGTCTGTGTGCTCTGAAACTGTATCAGAAGCACAGCTACATATTGCTGCTCTTCCTAACCTATCCGTAAGGCAGCTTCAAATCAATATTGAGGGTTTGTTTGTGATATGTCTACGTCTCCTTCACACAGGGTGATCATCTATCTGCTCATCTTTGGCTTCCAACTGGAGCCGTTTCTACGCACACGCTTCGAGCTGCCCGGTGTCTACATAAACGACATGCCCGTCCACAGCTGCACCAGCAATGCGGTGCGCATTCGCGAGGAGATTGAGACGCTGCGGCAGGACTTTAACAAGCGATTCAAGCAGCTAATATTCACCTCCATGCTGAATGCCTACTACAGCGGCCTGGTGCCATGCTGCCTGGCCATGAGCGTCAACTACAATGTGATGCGGGCCGCACAGCACTGCATCATTGTGTGCCTGGGTGCGTTCAGTTTGTGCGCTGCATACCTGTATCCCGCCAAGTACAGCGACATTCTGCACCGGGCCACCTTGCACTTGGGCTGCTGGCAGCGAATCGACCGAGACCCGGCGCCCTCGCAGCTAATTGTCGCTGCCAGTGCGTTCACCTGGTCGAAGTTTACGGCCTATGGCCATGGCATTGTGGTGAAGCACAATGGAGGACTCTATCGCAGCCTGGGACTGGTGACGGTGGCCACACCGGGAAATGCCAGCCATGTGCGCTTCTATGTGAGTGGAAGAGGAGGTTTATAGGCCACCAAAATATTTACTTCTCTCTCTCCACAGAAACTATTTCATAATCCCACTGTCATCTATTCGACACTTGCCACACTCCAGGCAGCCATATTGCTGGTGGAGATCGCCTCTCTCAGCGCCGCCACCATCGAGTGGCATTTTGTGCTCTCCATCAGCTTTGTAGCATTCACCAGCATGGGAGCATTCTTCAAGCTAGTCCGAGACTATCTCATAACCAAGGATCTGTACAAATCAGAGCACGGCAGCATCCCACCCGAACGACCATTCAAACTGAGTCTTAGATCTGAATTTATGTAATAATAACCACGACATAGACACAGCCATTTAATTTCACTATTTGCTGCTGCTGCTGTTCTCACTGGCGATGGCAGCGGGAGTGGCGTACACCCAAGAGCTGCCCTGCTTGTGGTCGCGTATCTGGATGCCATGCTGTTCCAGCAAACTGCGCAGCTCATCGCATGCGGCCAAGAGTTGAGTGTTCTTCTGATGCCCGGATATCGCCTCTCGCCGCAGTTTGCCGCGCATGGACAGGACGTCCGCTATCAAAAGAGCGGGGTCCAAGCCACCACCACCCACAGCAGGGAGAGGTGTCTTCAGTGCAATTCTCTGCTCGGTCTCTGCCAGTTTGGAAATGCCAAAGGTGAGCATGGCTCGGTTAATAAAGTTGCCGGCTGCAGTCAGGAGATCAAGGCAATAGGCCGGCTCCTCCACTGCATCCGCCTGCTGCTCATTTATGCAGCGACTGATGCTGGTCATCTGATCGATCAGCACGCTGATGCCACGCGCCGTATCGAAGTCATCGCGTAGGCTGTTGTCGAACTCGGTCGCCATGTGTGCTATCTGCGCCTTGAGTGCTCCCTCATCCAGTTTCCGAATCGGCTTGAGGAACTGTGTGTACGCGCTGAGATCTGCCTGAAAGTTCTTGAAGCGCTGCAGCGTCTGGCGGGCAGTCAGCATCAACTGCTCGCTGTAGGGCATGGGGTTGCGGTAGTTGGACAACAGGCAGGCCATTCGAAACTCGTCGGCGGTGTACGTGAGCAGCATCTCGGAAATGGATATGGCGTTGCCCAGGGACTTGGACATTTTATTCTCGTCCCCCGCTATGTTCAGCTGGCCCGTGTGCATCCAATAGTTGACCCACTGGTCGGTCTGGTAGCGGACACAGCATTGCGCCTCCTCGTTCTCGTGGTGGGGGAACCTAAGGTCTAGGCCGCCAGCATGGAAATCCAGTTGGCTGCCGAAAAACAAGCCGGCAATGGCACTACATTCGATGTGCCAGCCGGGGCGACCCTCTCCGCCCCAAGGAGCCGCCCAACTCGGCTCGTCAGCCTCCTTCTTGGCCTTCCACAGAGCAAAGTCCGCACTGTTCTGCTTGAAGAGATTCGACTTTTCCTCGCTGCTCAAGCCGCCCAGCCGCTGCAGCTTGCCGTAGTGCGGGTAGGTGGACACGTCAAAGTACACGGAATTGTCCTCCGTCACGTAGGCCTGCGATTTACCGATGAGTTCCTCAATGAACTGTACGATCGCGGGCATGTTGCTTGACACATGGGTGCGTATGTCCGGTGGCTTCACGTTGAGTCGCAGCATATCCTTCCTGAACTCTGCCTCATAGCTGCGAGCCATGCCCAGCCAATCACAGCCAGACTCGCGCGCCTTTCGGATGATCTTGTCATCCACGTCTGTGATATTCATGGCGGTAACCAGATTGAACTTGAAGTAGTCCCGCAGGATTCGCTGAATGATGTCCACCTTCACATAGGTGCTGGCATGGCCCAGATGCGCCGAATCGTACACTGTGGGCCCGCATGTGTACCAGGTGACCATGTTCGGGTTACGCACCACAAGGGAAACTTTCCGGCGCATCCCATTGTTGTAGACAGTTATGCCCGTATGCTGGCCCACGGGCTTCTGCCAATGATACGGCGGTGACTCTGTGGCACTATCGCTAAAGTTGCGGCGGATTGTCTTCGTTCTCAAGGTCCGCCAGTACCAGGGTCTGAGGATCATCTCGCTGCTGAAACTGAGAAGACAGTGAGGGTTTGGTAAGGGTTTTGGCGAAGCCATCTCACTTACTGGCTCAACATGTCCTTTTTCTCAACTATTTTCTACGAATTTTAAAAACCTAAAACTATGTACAACAACAACAATCAACAATTGACTCGCCGGGCGAGGTTGCCGGACCGTGTGAATCCGGTTGGCTTGGCACGCAGGGCTGCCACCCGGTCAGAAGTGGATGAAGACGAAGCCGGCAGAATGCAGTGGCTTAAATTAAAGTTGCCTTTTATTTATTTAATTTGCACAGTGACATGGGCCACAGCATGGGCCAATTTGGAGCGAGACCCCAACGGCTATCTCACCTACTGTCCCTGCATGGGTAAGTCTCTGACGTTTGGACTCTGTTGCATCTGTATATTCCACGTACAGTTTGGTGTACTCCCCCTCAGGGCGCTTTGGCAACCAAGCTGATCATTTTCTGGGCTCATTGGCCTTTGCCAAGGGTCTGAATCGCACCCTCATTCTGCCGCCATGGGTGGAGTACCGCAAGGGGGAGATGCGTTCCCGCCAGGTACCCTTCAATACGTACTTTGATGTGGAGCCGCTAAAGGACTACCATCGGGTCATACTGATGTCGGACTTTATGTGGCATCTGGCGGACGACGTCTGGCCGGAATCGGAGCGTGTGTCCTTCTGCTACATGGAGCGCAAGAGCCTACAGCAGGATAAGAACGATCCGGACCAGCCCAACTGCCATGCCAAGGATGGGAATCCCTTTGGCCCCTTCTGGGACACCTACAACATTGAGTTTGTCAAGTCCGAGTTCTATGGCCCCCTGCACTTTGATGTGCACCACAGCACCATGGCAACCAAGTGGCAAAGCAAATATCCAGCCGAGTCCTGGCCAGTGTTGGCCTTTACTGGCGCCCCAGCCAGCTTCCCCGTCCAGCTGGAGAACCGAGAACTGCAGAAGCACATGCAATGGAGTGCCAAGTATCGGGACGCTGCCAGGGACTTTATACGGAAGGTGCTGCCCCGTGGCGCTTTCGTGGGCATCCACCTGCGCAATGGCATCGACTGGGTGAGGGCCTGTGAGCATGTCAAGGATAGCCAGCATCTGTTTGCGTCGCCCCAGTGCCTGGGCTACAAGAACGAGCGTGGCGCGCTCTATCCCGAGCTCTGCATGCAGACCAAGGAGTCCATAGTGCGCCAGCTAAAGAGGACAATCAAGAACGTGCGCCAGACGCAGCCCAACAATGAGATCAAGTCCGTGTTTGTGGCCTCGGATGCTAATCACATGATCGGCGAGCTCAACGTGGCGCTCAGTCGCATGGGCATCAGCGTGCACCGGCTGCCCGAAGATGATCCCTACTTGGACTTGGCCATTTTGGGGCAGTCGAATCATTTCATTGGCAACTGCATCTCATCGTATAGCGCATTTGTGAAACGTGAGAGGGATTCGCACGGTTTTCCATCCTACTTTTGGTCCTTCCCCAAGGAGAAGGACCGCCAGCAATCCAAGGCGCACGAGGAGCTATAAATCTCAGATAAATACAGTCCAGCAACTATTCTCAACGTACTCTCTGTGTAGTTTATAAGCTAGAAAAGTATTCGAATCCGGACGCATTTAACGAGATTTTGTTCTTGCATTCGATTTACTTAGAAATTTATTCAATTGTAATTCAAATGTTACGAAATTTGTGTCTCATTTCGATTATGTTTTGTTAGGTATTTGACGGATGGTTGTGGTGGTGCCTAGTGTATCAGCTTTTGTGTGCGAGCCAGATCCAGTTGCGCGGATGAAACATTCGTGAGACCCTCGCGGACTGAGCTGAGGTTCTCCTTCCAGGCCTGCAGCAAGTCCCGCAGCTGCTCCCATTGTGGTGTACCGAATGTACGATGCATGGTCGATGAAATGTGCACCTTGCGGTTGGCCTGATCCAAGCGGGCACGCACCAGCTTCGTCTTGAGCACCTGGATGACAAATGGTTCGACTTCATCCTCAGCGATTTGCAGCTCCTTGGTCAGGGTTTCGAAGGTCATTTCCGGATTGCTCTCGGCCAGCTGCATGAACGTCAGCAGGCGCATCTTCTTCATGTTCTGTTCGTGGTTGAGTCCCTGCGAGTTGACAAACTCCTTGTGATCTTCATAGAATTGAACGTACGATGGCAATTTGTCGGAGACAAAGATGGAAAGCAAATCGTGGATGAGATCGCCCTCCAGGAAGCGCACAGGCTTCAGCGCCAGCAACGGATCCAGCAGGAATGTATTGGGATCGGCCAGGGCGGTGACAATGCACTTCATGGCATCCTCGCGTGCCACACAGGCATTGTCAGCCGTGTATGTGCCCAGCAGCTCAATCATTACCTTGGACGACAGCTCCAGGTTCGTATCCTTGGTCACATCATGCAGCAGGCGATACAGCTTCTGCATTTGTTCAGAGGATGGCGGGCAATTGGCAAACTGGGTCTTTAGCTGATCCACGCCGGTGAAGACTTCCAAAACTTGTTCGCATTGCTTGGCCACCTGCACCAGATGGTAGTAGACATGATAGCGCAATGGTGAGGCCGTGTCCAGATTGTTGAACAGACGCCACAGCGACTGCAGGCACACCTTGCCGAGCGGCTGGTTCGGCGCCTTGGTCATCTTTTCGCAGTAGGCCAACACAATGTTCTCTCCGCGGTCCAGGGGTATCTGCAAAAAGCAAGCAATTAAAACCCAAAAATCTTGAATGACTAATGATTCTCACTCACTGTTATCATTATGGACACAATGCTATTGAGGATGCCATCGATCTGGGCTGGCTCTCCGTCTTTGAAGCAGACATCGCAGACGCCGATGATTTTGTGCAAATCATCCTCAACGCCTTTGTTGGACTTCTCCGATGAGATTTCGGCTCCCAACTTCTTGAAATACTTGCGCAGCTCTTGGACCTATTGCGAATATATTGAAATATTATAGTTTCATTTTTTGTAGTTTTGTTTTGCACCCTTTCGGGACAACATAACCTCAAATTCGGTTTAGTCTGTCGACGAACGGGACACACACAAAGCTGCAACTCCAACTATACCTGCTCGTCCAAGGAGAGGTCAATAAAAACCGGATGCGAAGTCATATTATGCTTGCGGTAAATGTGTTTTATTTATTGAATTAAATCTCGTTGAAAATAACACGCACGCACACACTTTGGTGTCTTGGACGAAAAGGTGTGACCGTCGATCGTATACAGCCTCACCCTTAGAAATATATCGTAAATATACCGAAAAAGAGCATTGCATTTGTATTTTTGAAGAACAGGATGGATGACTTCGACGACGATTCCTTTGATGATGTTTTGGGCTCCATGGAAATGCCCACCTCGCCCAAGAAGCCTAAAGTGCAGCCCAGCAACAACCAGGCACCAGCGGCCACCACTTCCACCGCTAATAGTAGCACCACCGCTTCAATCACAGTCGTCAAGCCGGCGTCGAACCCCCACAGCGTCCTTGTCCACAGCAAGCAACGAGGAAATCCGATCCTAAAGTCCATACAGAGCGTTCCTCTGGAGTATCGGGATGATATTGTGCCCGACTATGTGGTGGGCCGCACTACCTGCATCCTTTTCCTATCGCTCAAGTATCACAATCTGAATCCAGATTACATTTGTCAGCGCCTGAAAGCACTGGGCAAGATGTACGAGCTGCGTGTCCTGCTGGTGCAAGTAGACACGCCAGAGCCGCACAACGCTCTCAAAAGCCTGACGCGGATATCTCTGCTGGCAGATCTAACCATGATGCTGGCCTGGAATGCCGAGGAGGCTGGCAAAATGATTGAAACCTACAAGCAGTTCGAGAAGCGTTCTCCCGACTTGATCATGGAACGTGTGGACTCGAATCCCCACCAAAAGGTACACAACAATGCCATAAAATATGCTCATAGCATTACCATTTTGATCTTGAACCTAGCTTGTGGCTGCTCTGACCAACATAAAGCCCGTGAACAAAACGGATGCCGTCACGCTGCTTCAGACTTTTGGAAACTTGGGCAATGTGATCACCGCCAGCGAGGAGAGACTGTCACAGGTGATGGGTCTGGGACCACGCAAGGCCAAAAAGCTTTACAAAACCCTGCAGGAGCCCTTTCTTAGCAAGTAGCAGCAATTATAGCAGGGTAAAGGCGAGGAACTTCCTCTGTAATTTAATGTTTTTAATCATTTGTATACAAATCAAAATACACGTTGCTGAAACACTTATAAACTAGAACGAACACATTGATCGGAGTGCTAGTCGGTTACCTTCCATATTTTGATGGTGCCGTCATCGCTGCAGGTGATCAATTGTCCGGCCACAGCGGGGTTCCACTCCACCGAGTTGACGTCCTGATCGTGGGCACTCTCCTCAGCGGTCAACTGTTCGAATGTTGGTTCATCGCGTTTCGAGTCGCTGGTCTCCTTAAATATCCGAACGCCGTCGTCACCACAGCCGGTGGCTATCAGGCCCGTCAGCTTGCACCAGGACACATCATAGATGGCTCTCGAATGCTGCCCAGACAATGTGCAGACACACTTCCAGACGGTTTGTTTATCTGGCGTGGCTATCCCAGCATCATTGCCCGGATGGTAGGCTCTCCAGATCTTGAGTGTGGTGTCATCGCTGCAGGAGACCAGCCGGTCGCCCTCGGCGTCAAAGTCAATGCTCCACACTGTGCTCGTGTGGGAGGACAGTGTGGCTGTGCAGTCCCAGTCGCTGTCCAACTGGCTCTCGGCAAACATTTTGATGGTATTATCATAGGAGGCGGATGCCAGAATGTCCTTCGTCGGGTGCCACACCACACGCTTCACGTCCTGTGTGTGAGGATTCAGCACGGCTGCGCACTCAAATTCATCATCGCCAGCCACTTCCCAAATCCAGACAGATTTGTCCCGGGAGCAAGTGGCCAGCAGCCCACCGGATCGCGACCAGCTGACGCTCTTCACCTCGTTCTCGTGCCCCTCCAGCGTGGCATTGCACTCAAATTCGCCGGAGGACTTTGACCAGATCGCTGTGGTGGCATCAAAGCTGGCCGAGGCCAAGAACTGGCCGCACGGTGACCAGCGAATTTCGCGTATGGTGCGCTTGTGTCCGTCGGAGAGAATTGTCTTTGTGCTCCAAGTATTCCCCGACAGAGACCAAACGCGGATGGCTTTGTCTTCGCCACAAGAGGCGAAAACGTTGCCTTTCGGATGCCAGGCCACTCCCCAAATCCGTCCCTTGTGGCCCTGCAAGGTGTGCTCCAGAATTAACCGTCCCATACTTATACTATGTAGACGAAGTTAAACTTTCCCGGAGTTTTACTTTTTTGATAATTGATAACAAAAGCGCATGTGCTAAGAAGAAGAAACTGAAGCAGTAACAGCTGATTTGATCAGTGCTGTAGAACGACACTGATTTCTGTGTGTGGGTGGGTGTTGCGAAATGACTGGTTGTGTTCAGCATTCCGTTACCCAGCACAAGTGAAAGTGAAGAAATTTGTATACATATATTTTTCAATTTTCTTTTCACGTATTTTGCCTATTAAATGATGCGAATATGAACGGCTTGATTGTGTTCAACAGTGGCAACGATGTTGTCTATCAGAAACTGAACGCACCACTAACGCAGAAGATCTCCGATGTGGCCGTCGCCCAAGGACTGCTGGAATCCGCCCCCGCCCCCGATTCCAGCAGTCCGATGGACAGCAACGTCTTGGTGCAGATCTTCAGCCCCATTATCAGCTCGCAGAAGATAATGCAGTGCCAGTTTGACAACGCCTACTCCAGCTTCCAGTGCGAGAAGGGATTCAACTTGGTCTTTGGCGAACTTCTGGGATTCACCTTCCTGAAGATTGGACATGTGCCGGTGGACCAGCTGACGCGGCAGATGGGAGCGAACATAGCCATATCGCGGTATTGCTATGGAGCGAACATCTTCGGGGCACAGGCTGGGGCCATGCAACAGGAGCTGCTGACGCAATGCCTCGAGTGCTACGAAACATTGCTGGGGCAGGAGGATCAGACATATTTGATCGAGGCCATACCCAAGCTGGTGGTCAACAAGGAGCTGAAGCGCACCATTCACCTGACACTGGATTTTACGCTGGAACAGCTGCGCCAGGACGGCCTACCCCGGGCCCATGTCCTGCTGATGATTTCCCACAAGCTGGTGGCCGCCAATAGCACCAAGCACGCAGTGCCCTTGGCTGCCGCCGATCTGCTCTTTCTGAGCATCTTGTCGCGGGCCCTTCAGTCGTCTCAGCACTCTCCATCGCAGAGTGTTGTGCCGGTCTTCCTGCAGGGCGCCTCCCACGACGAGAACTCTGGCTGTGTGCCCACCATTGTGCACATCTCTCGCCTGCACGGCAACCAGGTGCTGCTGCAGGTTATCGAATACGCGAACATGCCGCTCACCAGCTGCATCTACGACTGCTTCTTTGTGGTGCAGAAAATCAGCATGGTGCACCACCAGGGCGACTCGGACGCTCTGAAGCCAGCTTTTGAGAATCTGGAGCCCTTCATCGTGCAAACTTTGGCCGCCTTGAAGCGGCACCTGAAGCAGACGTGCGGCGACCTCGATGACCTGGAGAGTTGCATTAAAAAGTTTACAGCCAAGTGGGAAAATCTTCGCAAAATGTACATGGAGTACTTCAAGAACTTTGAGCGAGAGCTGCTTGTCAGGATTGAATCGAACGTGCCCGCGTTTATGGAGGAGCTGAAGCAGCTTTTCACTTTGGCCTCGTGCGACAGCTCCAGCGCACACCTGGACCAGCTGTACGAGTCTGCGTCGATTGTGGAGGCCAAGCTGCTGGAATTTGCCGAGTTCCTGGCTGTAAAGGCCACCAGGAACATCTCCATTGATGCTTACTTGGAGGACTTTCCCGGCCTGGTGCACTTTATGTACGTGAATCGCAACAGTGGACAGATGCTGGGCCCCGATCTCCGCACGAATCAGTTGGTGACGAAAACTAAGCTGTGGAACATGGTCGAGTTTGCCCGCAGATATCTCAAGAAGGGCCAGACTACGGTCATGTGGAAGGACAAGGTTTTCCACTACTCGTACTTCCTCTGGTTCGAGGATCAGTCGGGCGGCATTCTCAGCCCAACGCTGGACCTACAGCACCATTTTCTGGCCACAGCTGCATCCAGTGGCAGTGCCATAAAAGCGCCCACCGAGCCCGGTGCCCTCTCTGTCGACTATTACTTTGATCTCGCCGAGCTCTGCTTCCCGAAGCTGGCGCCTGGCAAGGTGCGAGTATACGAGTTGTTCTGCATCCATCTGGGACTGGTCACAACCACCTGTGCCGTAGAGCATGCCCGACGTTTGGTCGCCACCATCAGCGATGTGGTGGGCGATGAGACATTTTAAATATAAATATATTTCTATAGTATGGTTACATGAACCATTTCAGCGGCCATTCCCGGCGGGGCGCATGAATCTAGTCAATTTATGGGACATATGCAATATGAAACGTGTTAAGGACAACTCTCCTGTTCCACTTTAAAGCATAGAAATCGTTCAAAGTGAAAAGCAAAAGGTGTGTGTGCATTTTTTATTGCGACTCGGTTGGAGGTGGCTGCTGTGTCTGCGCCTTTTGCAGCTCCTGCAGCTTTTCCAGGAAGAATAACTTGCGTGCCGTCAACGGCATGGACTTCTGGCGCAGCATGTAGTTCTCATTGCCCAAGGCGGTGTAGGTGTCATCACCGATGAGCTCCCTCAACGCAATGTTCTTCTTTAAATGCTTATCATAGAAGCTGGCACCGGAGGCCACAAACTGCGGCCCCAGGGTGGCCAGCTTCTTGTCAATCTCGGCATCGGTGGCAACCTGATTGAAGTCCTTCATGAACGTCCAACTGCCGACTCCGAACAGACCCAATATGGAGTACAGCACAAAGCGCACCTGAGCAGGAGAAAGAAGTCATTGAGGTTATTAAACAAAAGCCCATATGCCCGCTACTTACGCTGCCATGGCGGGCGAACAGATTGAGGCGCAGGTTCAGATAGTGTCCGATGGTGTAGACCATGAGGAAGCTCACGGAGGGGAATATGGAGTTGAGCAGCACCCGATACGTTTGCAGCTGGAGAATGGCCTTGCTAAGCCCAAAGATCTGCTCATCTTCGGTCAGCACGATGGCCTGCTCCAGCAGCTTTCCGCTGGGAGAACTCCAATTAATTTGCTGGTCCCTAAAGCGAATGTCGGCTCGCTTGATCTCTGCAGTACTGCCATAGGCGTAGTTCACGGGTATGCCCAGAGCGGACCCGAATCGCAACTTGGTGGTCCCGGCTTGGAACAGATCGAAGCCGAACACGGTGAAGGGTTTGACGAACTTGCGCTCAAAGGGTTCAACCTGCAGTTTGTCCAACGCTTGCTCCAGCCGGCTCTGTACTGCTTCCGGCACAGGCCTTTCCACGCCATTTCTGAAATGAAGCAATAAACATTATTAGAGTGGCTTCTTTACACCGGTCAGCAGCTCACCCACTGGTAGCATTGCACAAAGTCGCGGTAGTACTTCAGTCCAAATGTGTGGGGAAGGAAGTTGCCGACAAACAGGCCAACTGTCGTGGCGCCCGCTGTGTAAAAGACTACTCGGCGTCCAGGCTCAGTCTTGAAGAAGCCAAAGAAGCCGCCACCGGCTTTCGGTGCTATATACATAATGTATGTTATCAATTAAAGCGGGTTTGATTTTTGATATTCTTTTTTGTTTTGAAACAGCAGATTGTGTAATTGACAGTGTGACCTAGGAACCCTCACAATATACCAAAATATACCTTTCATTTTTAAAATATACCGCAGATATACCAGAATCTTAATCATATTCCTCGATTTTGATGTTCTATTTAATATTACTAGCTTGCAAAGACTTTTAACACTGAAAAAATAATTTGATCCGTTTAAAGAATCATTTAGGCATATTAAAAACACTCCTTTTTTATTTGATTGTAAACCTTATGACCTTATATTTTACAAATTTGTATTTGATTTTTTCATTCAAATCACCCCTTGTGAAAGCCAGGGGGCTTGTATGCTGTATGTAAATTTAGTGACACATGTAGGACAACTGACATCATTGAACATTTTTGAAAAATAGCTCGCGCCTCAAAAGAGGAAAATAAATTCTATTGTTTTTTTGAAAATTGCACAGATGGAACATATGTAAATATTATAATTGGCTATCAGTGGTTTGTGGGCGGTTCTTCTATCTTAACAACATAATTGGGGCTAGGCTCAGGTTTAAAATTGAAATTACACCTTTCTTCTGCTAAGGAACACCTGATAATAATGACAAAATCATCATTATCGTCTTACTAATCACCGATTTAGTTGATTTTATTTACTTGATTTTATTTATATATTAATACATACATTTTCTTTTATATTTAGTTGTTCTCTCTTCGCAACGGAAAAGAGCTTTTAAAACTCCCTTAACAAAGCAAGGGAGCTTTCATGGTGCGAAATTTGTGCCAAAAACTAAGGTGTCGACAACAGGTAAATACGTCACTAAAATTCCAGGGGCGCCACTTAAATTACACGGTAAATTACACGCCGATTTTCATCCTACGTGGGAAGTTCTCCCAGGGAAATTCTCTCCTGTGTCTAAACGGCCAGGGAAATCCTCTCCTCTGTATAAACGGTCAGGGAAACTCTCTCCTCTCTCTCACCGCTCTACAATCTACACAAAAAATATACGTTCACACTTACCTATTAATGTTAAATGTAAATGTTACATCGTATTCCTTGATTTTGATCTTCAGTTTAATATTCCCGGCTAGTTGAGACTCTCAGCTTTATAACTGTAATTTTACTCGAATCATCATTCAATTCTCCACAAGATTGGCTTATTTTTATGACTTATCTTTATTGGATTGATTGCAAAAAAGGTTAAACCCATAAAGGTCGACCACAAGAAATTGGATTTAAAGTTACGCGGGTGGAAATGGCCCTCATGATTATGTGCAGCATTTATGTTAGTTAACAGTTGCACTTAAATTTAGGTACACTTCGGCTGGTAATATTGTGGATGCTAAGAAGAGGTGGACAACAATAACACAGGGAAATGTTTTGTTGCGGAGTTTGCGTTTAGCCATAGCCGAAATCGCAAAATCTGCAACACCATCTCCATACCGGTCACCTTTAGTCAGAATGAAGGGTCGATTATGCCCAATAATTTATTCGTGGGCGCGTAGTTCAAGTGTGTATGTAATGTACATTTGTATGTATGTATCATTTTATAAAAAAAGCGGAACTTAACCCGCTAAGAATACTCTCCAAAATAATAGAAGAAATTAATTAATTAATTAAATTACATAGAACTTGAAAAGCCGCGATGTATAAATGTTATCAAATTGAATATCTTGTTGTTTGAATCATGATAGGGATAGGGTATCATGCGTTATCTAAATCCCTTTAATTTTCACTCAAATTGGTGTTTTTGCATACCAATTTTTAAGGTGGGTGAGGAAAAGTCAGTAAGAAAAGGGGCAGTACGGAAAGAGAGCAAAGGCGATCCGAGCGACTGCAGGAAGTGCATTACTCTGCACTGATAAACCAATCCGGTGGCGCGTCTCTTCATTTTAGGGTCTTCCTTTAGCAGAATTTAATCTCCCCACAAACTACAGACAAAAAGAACAGTCCGGATTTTTCGTACCTTTGTAGACTTTGTTTTTGTTCAAAAAATTGTACCAGCTTTGATGGACTCTATATGGATTAAAATTTCAGTAGTTGGATTCCGAATTAATGGATTTTTTGCCTGGCTCAACTCTGTGCCAATTTTCTGGTAATGTATGCGAGCATCCATCCGAAACCACGCTCTGGCTGGGGCTGGGGATGGGGCTGGGACTGGTGCTCAGTGAATTTTGGTCAAACAAGTCCTGAATAAACAACTGCAACAGTCGGGGCAAATGTTTGTACGGGATGCGTTTTAGCTGGCTGGCTGGCTGGCTGAAATGCCAAATTCATGTCGAATGTGCTGAAGTTGCAGCCTTTTGATTTGCTGCCATCATCAATATTGATTGCCGAATGCTCCAGTTTGCTGTGTGCACCGCCCACCGCCCAACGCCTATCCTGCCGCTGTCCGTGGTCTGTGCCTCTCACTGCCTGGCTGCCGTTTTGTAGTATTTTACAATTTATATGGCACAACAATTTGTTATGCCACAAATCCCCAGCTGCGGCTGTCGAAGCGGGGGCCACGGGAGGTGCCAAGGTGTCCCCCACACAGCCAATCAGCCCAATCATAAATACTTCATTACCCCTACGAGAACGGTGGCACATCCAGCCTGGCCAGCTTGTTGCATATTTGAAATGCTTTTCCTGACCTGACCACCACGTCCACCACCTGGCCGTGGCCGAAACGTGCAGCCAGAATAATCACAACTGAGATTGCTTTGCCCAATTGCTATTTCTATTTATTAAAAATCAATGCTGCTTGCCACACACCACACACCAACCAGCAGCAAGCAGCCAGCAGCCAGCAGCCAGCATCCAGAATCCAGCAGGGACAAGAGAAAATCAGCAATTTCAGCAGCCTTAGCGCCATTCTGCCGTGTCCTGTACGACAGCCGTGAATTCGTCCTGCTTTGGGTCTGTGTGTGCTTGCTCCGGTAAATCCGGTAAGCACTGTGCAACAAAATCAGAGCTCCCCCAATCAGACTGCCCCCTGCTTTGCTGCTAATTGAAAAGCGATTTGCCGCCGAACATTGCAATGAGTCTTGGCCCTGTTGGGCTGTGTAAACGGATGCTGACTGTTGGTCCTGGCCCAGACAAGCCAGAGGCCAACACATGCCATGCCACATCGTGTCGTGGCGGAGCCAGAACCTGCTCCAAGCAGCTGCTGCTCCTGCTGTATTTTGGGGTGGAGGGGGCCGACGCGACATTTCCGGGCAGTCTGAAGTAATTGCAGGGCAAGCTGTTGCCGCTGACAGCGAGTAGGGGGAGGCTGTCTGGGGTGTGTGTGTGGGGACTGTATGTGGCAGCTCGGTTTCCCTGGACACTGGTGTGGCGGTCAGCTTAGCCGGCAGGAGGCTTATGCTAGGCATTTTGTTCGATGGGGTTGCGAATGACAAGGGCATGCGGCCGGAAGCGGAATTTGGCAGACGCCAGTCTTAAAGCCAGAGTGGACGAAGCAGACTTCAAATCGAATTCGGATGCATCCCCAGCGCTCCCCCAGCTGCCGTTGCTTCTGCACTGCACAGTTACGTGACTTTTTTGAGACCAATTCCATGTTTTTTGTCTCTCTCTCTCTCTCTCTCTCTCCGCGACAACTGCACTTGGAATGGCGGTAGGGACCGGGGACAGCCTCAAGCTCACAGCCGTGCCCGTATCCGTAAACATATCCGGGATTTTGCCGTGGCAGTTCCGGCGCGCTTTGCATATTAACTAAGTGAAACATTTCGTTGACAACTTTTCAAACATTTGTGCGCTCTGTATAAATATTTATCGCTCCCAGTGTTGGCCGAACACCAACATTGTGTGGGGCGGGGCATCAGGGATTTGGGATTTGGGATTTGGGATGCTGCTGCCGGGATTCGCAGCGGTGTCCAACAGATCCAGACGGATGCCCGAAGACGTTTAAAATTGAAATTTAAATTCGATACATAAATGGGGGAAATGGGTAAAGAAAAAAGGGACTCCGCCTCGACATATCCTTTTGACCGTGTTTGGGGCTGCTTTTGGCAATTTGAAATACAAATTTTACACCGTCCGGATGGAGGGATGCATCCCTTGGAATCAAATGAGCCAAGGCCAATAAGTCTCCGTCCGCAAACTTTCTTCTTTCAATTCTTTTTTTGTACCGGTGTGCCCTGCAGCCTTTTTGGCAGTCTGTCTGAGCTTCACAGGATTTTGCGGCACATCACACTCCATTCCAGCCCACCTCTCTCCATCACACATATTTATTAAATATTGAATGTTTTGCCTCGCTAGATGACTACGCCGCAGGCTGCCAAAGAGAAAAGGAGAAAGAAAAACTTTTCCTTTCCCTCTTCAATGCCACTTTCATCCTTTGTGCCCAGAGACACGACAGACCTCCACAACAAACCGAAAGCTCTACACATTTTGGGGGAGTTTTGGCTATTGACCTAAGGCTAATATCTGCATAAGTAGATATTCTGCGGTCAGAAAAGACACATCAATAGAGTCTGCCATGGACATTATCCATCTGGCAGCTGATTTGAAAGATCAGATAGATCGAAGATAGAAGTTTTGAGTTTGATTTTAGGTTTCTATTCATATTTATTCGGAGTTATTATATCCTTGGATTAGCGTCCATAGATCTCGATGGTGGAGTTGAGGCCACGGTTCACCTGGCTGCGGAGGTTGATCTGAGCGAAACGATAGCCTGGACCGCCGGACCACAGGGCGGGAGTGGCGCCCGAGGTGTTCCTGAAGTTATCGTACACGTAGATGGCGGAGATGTTGTAGTAGTTGACGGTGCCCTGCAAACAATGGGGAATCGAATGATTCGAGTATTGATTCCACTTGAAGTTCGAGAGAATTACTTACCGCACGTGGGAAGTCAACGTTGACGTTCCAGTAGTTGTTCTTGATGGGATTGCGCACCTCCACCTGGCGTGAGAGCAGATAGTCGTTGTTGTTGCGACGTCCCCAGGTGGCACTGGAGCCGAAGCACACGAAGATCGCGGCAGCGAGAATGGCGAGAGTGAGCAGGAACTTCATGGTTAGCGTTCTAGGCAAGTGTGGTGTGTCAGCTGTTGGCGCACATTGTCTTATATAGCAGCAGGCACTCGCTTCCAGCCAGCCCAACTGCCGTGAGTAACACAGTGTTTACAGCGAGTTTTGTCTTTAATTAACTTTTGCCAGAGTGCGAGGGCCAGCTTATCTTAGCGGGATGGGGAGTGGGTGGCGGGTGCCGGGTGCCGGGTGGCGGCAGACCTCTGGCGAGGTCTTGCAAAAAAAGAAATCAAAACTGAAGAAAGCCCCCGCCCCGGAATCAGACTACCGATAAGATTACTGACTCACGGCAGGGCGGCGGCAGCTCGTTGAAAACAATTGCCAAGTTCCGAATTAAACACAAGAGGTGGCCAAACATGCTTCCAGGAAAACAACTTTGTGCTTGGACTGGCTGCAAGCTCTTGAGATTTGGAATCTGATATTCAGCAGATACATTTCGCCAGAAAGATAGTGTCGCTTCAACAGAAATCCCTATCTTCGAATCATTTAAATCACTCAGCCAACGAGGGGGGTTTTCGGAGATTTAACTACATGCCATGAACGTATACGGAGAAGAAAAGCGAATGGTAACAATAATATGAGGCATAAAATGGTATAAACATATGCAAACATACTAAATACCAATGGAATTTGCTTTAAATTAAGTGTAAAGGGAGTCATATAAACACAAAACAAACTTTAAAGTAGATAAAACACATTTAAATGAATCATGAAATAAATTTCAAATAAACATTTCACATTAATGCCCTTCAAAATGAATGTGAAAGAACTTCAACTTTCACTTGTGTAAAATAAAACAGTTTCTGCGAATTTTACCTCGGTATAAATAGAGAGGGTCATGTGTTGCTATTATACAGCATTTATTTAGTTAAAAACACTTTTGAACACTTTCTCAGAGACAATCACTTTTAAGCTCAAGCACACAAATGCGTCGCCAGGATACAGAATATTACCTAAGAGTCCTTTGAAGTGTCAAATTCACTGGAATTGGAATGCATACATATGTGTGGGCAATCCCAATTCTCGCAACAAACAAGTAATTAAACAACGAGATGGTGATAGTTGAACATCTAAATGAATGGCAAAATAATCCGCAAATTTAATGCGAATTCAATTGTAAGCCATTAAAGGGTGAAAAACATGACAGCTGTGAAAATACTTGAGTTACAATTCAGCTAATTAATTATTAGTCTTACTAGTCTTGGAAAATAATCTTAAATTGCGCAGAGATATAAATACGATGCACCTAACTATTTGAGCACAAATTAATGGTAATACCTCCCATGGAGTAGGATTAGCTACAGCTTGCATCGGACTTGAAGCAGTCCGATCTTATTCTGTTTCACTGCAAATGCAAATGCAAATGCAAACACAAATATGAAGCTTTGAAAGTCCAGAGTGTACAAGGTATGTCATACATACATAGATACATTCATTTGACCATTAACATTACCCCCAAAAGGCAGTTTGCTATCTGTGAGCATTACGCTTGAATTTAATTAAGTACCAGTCTTATCCGCTGCACGGATGTGGTGATGAATCCCTCACAGAATGCACCACAATCAGCAGAGCAGCATTTACACTTCCACAGACCCTGAGGGGGCGTGTCAGCCCTGCCATTCAACGAGCCACTCCGGCAAGCTCATCCTTATCGCCTGACACTGTCTGCCACTGAGTTCTGGTCTCCTCTGCTTTGGCTGCATATTTATTGCGAATTACAAAACCCCCGAGTCACTTGCTTTCGAAATAAAACCTCATTACTTGCAGCAGCCCAGCAGCCCAGCAGCTCTTTCGTGCTGATAAGGGTGGACAGGGACAGGGAGCAGGGAGCAGGGTGTGTGTGTGGGTGCCCTCGAATCAGACATATTTGTCACTTATGAAAGGGATAATTTGCCACGCTTCCCAACAACAAAAAAAAAACGTCACAATACAAGGCAGGAGGGGGGAAACAAAGCAACTCTGGCAGGATAAGAGGACTTGTATGCCTGGGGGAATGTCGGGGGAGACATCGCCATTATCCGATTGCAGTCAGCCGCCAGTCCAGCGACAGTCATTGTGGGGTCTCTGTGCATTTTATGCAGAAACTTGTTAATCACATTTTATTGACACATTCGCAGGGCGGCGGATGACGGCTGCAGGCAGCAGGCAGCGGGGCTGCAGGCAGCGGGGCTGCAGTACTCGGGGGAATCGATTTCCATTTTTAAATTGGCCAAATTAAGGGCTGATTTTCCATGTCCAACCCCGCCAGACATTGACTGCTACATGCGCCCCCGCTTGATAAGCAATTTGTTGTAAGCAAGCGGGGGGGCGGACGGATTTCCAGACACGACACCCAAAAGCCCCCCACACACGCACACACACACGCACACACATGCACTCCCAAGCAAAAGATTCGACAATTGCCAAATTTAAAAGCAATAAACGTACAGAGAGCAAATTTCTGGGTTTTGTGCCACGACGTTCTTGCTACCATTTGCCGCTTTTAACTGCCTGACAGGGGGTCGACAACGACCCGGAGGGCATGGGGCGGCGGGTGGACGCGTGCCGTTGGTATTTGTTGGCTGGTTTTACCCCCTCTGGGATGTCTGGGATTCCATCGCTCCATCCATCGCAAGCTGCCACTGCCATTCAAAAACGGGGGCTTCCCTTTCATTTGCGCTTTCAATGCCAATCGGTTGCACGGCATCCTGCCCTGTGTGGCAGGGGCAAGTGCTGTGGCAAGGGGCACGGGGCACGGGCTCAAGCTGCGCTCTGGTAAAATGTCAAGTGCGGAATGTGCACTTTTGACAGTTTCAGTTCATTCGACAGTCGGCCTGACTCTGTCACTGCCTCTGCCTCTGCCACCCGTTATCCAGTTCTCCAGCTGTAAACTCTAAACATCCCCTCGCACACCCTGAGACATGGCAACCCTGACACGTACCCCTAATAAAACTTTCTCGTCGCAACGAAAGAACAAAGTCAAATATTACAACAACAACAAAAAGGGGCAAAGTGGAAAGGCAGCAGCAGTTGCTGCCTTTTTGCTTATATTATTTTATATTTCGCATTTCATGTTTTGAATGCGCACTTTGTGCCCCATTCGGTACACACATCTCGCTCCTCCTGCTAAATTGCAAATTCGAGTCTAGTTGCTATGCTAATGCAATGAGGAAAAGGGAAAATAACAGACCTGCAATTTCATCTCAACGGGAATCTCTGGAATCTCTGGAATCTCTGGAATCTCCATTCAGGAAGTTCATTTGGCCTTCAACGCTCAGGCATAACAACCAATTAAAAGACTACCAAATGCTGTGTAAATCAAAGAAAATATCCCTGTAAATTGCAGCAATTCCAGCAGCTTTATGACAGTTTTAACATGCAACAAAACTGCCAGAGAGAGATATATTGATCTGACACAAATTGTGGGGTTTCTTGCCTATCTTTGCTCGCCTCGCATTCATTTGTCCGCCTCACTTCACACAAATTAATATAAAATGTTCTAAATGCAGTATAAATAAGCGCTTTAATATTCAATGAAATGGCACAACACCATGATAATTTAATAACCTTTAAATGTTCCCAGAAATAAATACTAAATAAATCATTTAAGCTGTATTCAATTTAGCTGAATTTTGCGGCCTAATGAAGTGCAAATATTTCAGTTTAAAATTTGTTCACTTCACTTAAGCCGTTGGATTTGTTTAGGGTAAAAATTTAAACTATCAAGATTTAGGGTGGCTACATTTTGGTCGCAACTATCGCAAACGATTCAAAAGGTCATTGCGTTGCAGGGTGCAGTTTGCCGGCAACCATCAAAGCGAAAGCGAGCAGGTGAGCGGCAGGACAAAGTGGGAGGTAGGAGAAACACTGCCGTGTTTGTCATTTACGATATGCAAAACAGTTTCTGGCAAAGGTTTAAAATCAGAGGGTGTTTAAAAGCTGTAATCGTTAATGAATTCTTCAAGCGATACAAGAGCAAAACGCAAAGGAAAGTCGAAGATTTGAGCACCCTGAATAGTATCTAAAACTAAATTTGAATTCTGTGCACAGAAGAACAGAACTTCTTTAGTCTGGCTTGACTCCATATGTTTAATGTTTTTTTTTTTCTTCCGCGCGTTTGTGTACCCTCCTGGTGGAGCACAAAACGGAGAGTAACGGCAGGCAAAAGGAAACGGGCCAACAATAGCTGGGGAAAACCCCTAGCCACAGGGCGCGTCAAAATTGTTTGCCCCATTCCCTTGCGCTTTTGTTGTTGCTCCTTTTTCTTTTGCCCTTCTCTGTGTGTTCGCTCTAATGTTTATATTTCTTTTGTTGTTGTTGATGATGTTGTTCTTGCTTTTGTTGTTAATTGCTGACTTAATGGCGCTTTAATTAAATCGCAACACTGCAGGCGAACGACCCACGATCCGAACTCCTGTTCGGGTATGGAAATGGTGGCTGGGCGACTTCCGGTTAGTCACTACCCCAACGGGTGGAGGGGTGGAGTGGTGGCATGCTGCTGCTTCCACCATTTGTCGTCCCACTTGATTTGTGACCCTTTGTCAGCAGTAAACAGTTGAAACTTGTAAACTGTTTTTGCTGCCATTTTATCAATACCCAAACCCTCCGACCACGCCACAAATTATTCAGCCAAATGGCCAAAACAGCTGCAGTCTGCTGCTCCGCCCGATAAGTTTTGCTTTTTTGTGTGTTTTTGTGTACCCTGCCGAGGGTATGCTATGTTCGTACAAACGATGATCTCTGCCATTTCTGTTGTCTAAATTGAAGTTAAAGAAGCCCCCCGTGAGGGTATCTAATGGCCGGTATGGCTACACAATTATTTTCACTTAGTCTGTTGTTGTTGTGGCTGACAAAACTTTAGATTTGATCGGAGCTGGTGCCAACCCACCTCCTGCGAGTGTTTAATTGTTGGTTTTGCTGTCTATCAAGTTGAGTTCTACCCTTTTGCTGCTGCTGCTGCAATTGTTGCACTCGTGCAGCCTGGTGTAAAATTTTAATTAATGCAAACTTCTCTGCATACCACCAGCAAACACTAACGGGATAGCCACAAGTATCAGGAGCAGAACCTCAGCCACATCCGGAGAGCTTTATTGATCTGCCACCATCCATCTCATCCTGTGTCTACAATTGACTACAGTTCCCTGTCAATGTGATGAACTTTCCAATTCAATTTGCAGTTGCCAGTCGACAGTTTGTTGGTTCCCATTCCCTGGCCCAGCTGGGCAAATGTTTCTCCCATAATATTTACGTTTAATCAAATGGAAAATCCATTGCCATAACTGGAACATGTAATAACAATCCAGTCAGCCCGCAAATCAGTGATGGCGGACCAAACGAAAAACCCAGTAAACATACATAATCGCACTATTTTCTTTTTTTTTCGGCTGTTTTCCATCAGTGGGAATTCTATTTATTTTGTGGCTTCGTGTTCTGTGGCTTACAGAAATATGTACATGTGTATGTGTATACATCATTTTAATTAAACGTGGTAAAAAACACATCTGCAGCACATAATATATCCCAGATATATGCATAAATCCAATATGTCCACGACACCGCAATTTGTTTAACATTCCATGCGTACGCGGACTGCATACACAATTAAACCGATTGGGCACACGATACTTAATGGAAGAACACAGAGGACGTTGTAGGAGTTACGAAAACCCGAATAATATGTGGATTATTTGTAATCTAACGGTTCGATCATTGGCACTAAATTCCTTTGATATGTTTACTCATATTTAATTGGTTTTTGCGATGGGATTACTCTTGCCACAAATCATCAGAATTCATAAATAATAAAGTCTCATAAATGATTTCAAATCGCTTTTGCATATTTCATGTCCATTCCTGCTCTTTGGCTTTGCCAATTAAATGCTAAATAGATTAAAATTTCAAACTGCCCCGATAAGCCCAATCAGGAATTCTGATTTATGCCTGCCAAAATCGGGCTGAGCACCCCCGAGCTCGTGTACTGTTCCCACACTGTCCAACATGCTTTCCAAACATCAATAAATAATTAAATTTTACATTAGGAATGTCAAATGCCATTGGTTAGGGAATTTTAATTAAATTAAAAATTAAATGTTGCCTTTTTGTTTGAAATGAGAGAGCTGAAAATAAAAAATGTGTCCAACATTTAATGCGGCTTAATGGGTTTCCACTTGTGGTCCGACAGAACTTTGTAGAAGAGTGTAGCTAATTTTCTGGTTGCAGCTGGAGCTCTCACTAATCATAGGCTCATATAAATTCACTCCGCCACAAACCGATCGGGGCAGGCACTCGCAATACTAGCAATAATTGCTCATTAATTATCACACACGATTTCCGAATCAATCAGAATCGGAATAATTACAACTACAGCTTCTAAATTGAAGAAAGACCACTCAATCCCTCCACACCTCCCTACACCCGATTTAAGGGTTAACACTACTTTTTAAATGAGAGAACGTTTCTGTGGACAGGGAGAGCATGGAAGTGGACCGCGGAGAGAGAGCATGGAACTCGCAGAGCGCCACCACTGAGCCTCCTACGCATGCAAATCTGCACCGCTCTCTCACTTAAATTTTTTCAGCGTGTTGGCAAAGTCAGCTCCTTGTTTCGGGTCGTGAAAAGCAGGAAAATAGTGAAAAATCCTAAGGAAAAAGTGTCGCGTAACTGTGTAGCGAAGTGTAGAAATAAATATCCGTCAAAAATGCCTCAAAATGTATGTTAAAGTGCAAAGAAAAGTGTATGATCAAGTGCGGGGAAGGACCATGGCCATACAAGAGGGATATGACTGAGTAAAATCTATAGAAATATGTGCAAGTGCACTGAAACGAGCGTTCGGGGCATGAGATGTCTCACTTCTCGTCTCGTTTGATCACGAGATGCCTTGCAAATTGTGTGCGACAGTGAAAAAATGTTAAAAGAGACGCGAATTGTTTTTCCTTTCCCACTCGCGTGGAAGAAGAGGTGCAGAGAGATGCGCTTGAAATGTGAGAGCAATTGGGAAGAGGAACTGAAGGAGAGCATGGAAGCATTGGAATGAGCTAGCACTAAGCTGCTCTCTTCATATTCATTTTTTCAGCGCGTTGGCAAAGTCAGCTCCTCGTTTCGGGTCGTGAAGAGCCAGAAAATAGTGAAAAATACCCAAGAAAAATTGTCAATACGCTGTGCCATTAAGTGGAGCAGTGAATTAACGTCTGACATGTCTCAAAATTGATTTTTAAGTGCAAGAAAAAGTGTGTGATCCAGAGGGTTAGCTGCAAAATTTTATAGAAGGAGTTGAGTAAGTGCATGTGCAAGTGAAAGTGAAGTGCAACAAATGCTTTTTGTATATTTGATAAATGCATGTACGCAATTATCTTTTTTTTTTAAGTGCAAAATGTGCGCTTGGTCGCGAGATCTTGCGTTGTAGTGTGTGTGTGAGTCATTGAAAAAACGAAAAAAAAGGCGCGAAATGCTGTCTCTTTCTCACTCATCAAGTAAAAGGCACAAAGGAGAAGAGAACAAAATAACTGAGCGGAGGCGTTCTCCCTGCAAGTGTCACAATTGTGTAAGGTGCGGCATTTGGAATCTTGGAATATGTCCCTCAGTGTTGGTGGAGGCTTACCTCACCTGATATTAATATCTTCTAATTTGTGCTCCTATTGGAAATGCAATTTGCAAATCGGTTCACGTGAGAGGGCTTGACTTCGGTATTAGAAAAGGGTGAAAAGAAACGAAATTCAGCTGCGGAGAAATGCTTGCAGAAAAAAAGTGGAGAATTATGACTGAATGGGTGAGTTTTTACTTTTTGATGAATACACATTGAATTGTTTACATTTATTCTTACTGGAGATTCCACTGCTCACGAAGTTCAGCTTCGATTTCCTTCGATTGAAACTATGTTGCAGAGTGTAACTAATTTCCACGCTGCAGCTGCAGCTCTCACTAATCGGGGGCTCTTATCAATACACTTTGCCACAAAATCGATCTGGGCACTCGCAGTTCGCGCACTAATTGCTCATTAATTACCACACATGATTTCCGAATCAATCAGAATCTGAATAATTACTCATATAATCCTACGCACAATGGCGTCTCTCACTCCTCACAGGTCCTACATTGAAGACAACCCTCCTTGGGGGAGGTGGAGCCACCTGTAGGGGTCTTGGTCCTATTTCCGCTACGGGCCTGTGCTGTCAGGATATATGAGGCGGAACTTATTGGGGCGGCACGCAGTGCCAACGATGTTGTTCCACGGCAAACTTCCTTCCGGATTTTCCCATTTAGTTTGTTTTGCTTTCAGATTCCGTTTTTGCCCGCTCGCAGAGCAAACATATAACGCAGCTTCTCCTGCTGCTGGTCCCCCTGTTTGGGGCTGCCACTCAAAGTCTGTGTCGTTAGTCGTTATGAGAAAGGGTGGAAAAGCGTATGGTCCAGTGACAGCTTTGAGGACGGACGTCGGAAAAAAATGGACTACCCCCAGTACTTGCCGAATGCAAAGGGTATATCCATTTTTGTGACGGGCTGATTGTGAATATCATCGTGGGTATTCCCATGTCGTGACAGTTGTTCTTAGTACTTTATAATTACAGCGGGGTGCAAACGAGACCAAGGAGAGTGGGTGTCATACGCATCTCTCAGTTTTGGACACGCACAGCAAACATGGTTGGCCAAACGAAAGGATGGCGGTCCTGCCGCTCTGGCCAGGATCATTTCCAAGGCCCAAGGGCCAGCAAAAAGGCAACGGAGCTCCATTTAATGGAGAAGTATCTGTACGCTTTAAGAGTCACGGCATCAAGATGGTCCGGTGGTCCAACATTTTCGGCGCCCTAGCCCATGTCGTTGTTGATACGCTCCTGTTGAATGCGTACGTGTCATGGCATGCATCACAGCCAGAGTCCGGAGATGCAACCTGAAAGTGTGAAAGTGCCCGGCAGAGTTCGCCCCCATAAAAACCAAACCATAAATTCCATAATATAACTGAGAGATTGCTCTGTGTGTAGTTTTCGTTTATGATTCAAAAGGAACATTTATTTATTTACTTAGTTATTTGTTTTTCGCTCATCGCCTCCGCCTTAGCTCTCGCTTTCGCTTTCGCTTTACTTAACTTAACTCGCTCTCGTTTCACAAAAATTGGATTCCTGTTTCTTTCAGTTGCCTCGGTGTGGCTCAGCGCTTTTCGTTCTGCGTTCTGGCTGCTAGTGCCACACCCATACCCAGCTATCAAACCATCCATCAGAGACTAGACTCTTTGGATAGTGCAGATTGATGGGCGTGGTGATGGCACTGTGGGCCTGGGCGGTGTTTAAGTGTCGTGTATTTGTTTTAGCAAATATTTTTTGAATACGCTTAAGTCTGGTTTTTGCTCACATACAATCATACGGTATAGAGAGTATATCTAAAGTTAGACAGATACGGAGATACATTTATATAAAGAGTTAAGGAGTGAGACATAGACATAGTGAATGACAATTTGTTATCCCTTTGGGGGCGGGCAACACATGTAAATGAGTTTCCCAGAGTGTGAGATGTACGTGTGTGTGTGTGTGTGTGTGTCTGTGTAGAGTGTGCTAGTGTGTGCTTTGGGCTCTTTTCATTTTCTTATTCGCCTTCTCCTTTCCTTTCGTTTTGCTTTAATAGCGTTTACAGTTATTTTTCAATTAGACGACAAAATAGACGTTAAAGATATAGACACACATACACATGCATACATAAATACATACATACATATTTATGTACATACATACTTACATACATACATACATATATTAGATAAACATGAAACACATTCAGTTAGTTATGGTAGTTGGCAGCTCCTCCATCTCCATCTCCTTTTCCTTACCCCTACCAGTTAAGAATTCAGAGATGATTTAAGAGTGCACTGTCTTCTCCCCTCTCTCTTCTCTCTCTCTCCCTCGTTTGCTCTATTATCTATATAAAATTTGTTTGCTTTCGTAGGATATCTATGTATGTAGCTGTGTATGTGTGTGGGTGGGGTGGGGATGAGCTTGTGCTGCCTGGCAGCAGTCGGGATACACATAGTCTGTACATATGTACATACATACGTACGTAATTGTTATGTTGTGTGTGTGTTGTTTGTGTATATTATTCGTAAATGGAGAGATAGTAGTGCCGTGCCGTGTTCGGTAATTGCCTTAGTAACATTTTCGTTATCATTTTCAAGTGCGAAGCTTAAGAATAAACCATATAGAGAGCTTAAATAACTACTCGTAGATGAAAAAGCAAGCAGTTGTCTTGGGATTTATTTGCTATTTCTTCCTCAGTTATTTTCTGATGTGCTGTGTCCGTGCTTGGACTGTACCATTTAAGTGACATTTTTGTGACATTCAACATTTAAACTACGTTTTTTATGGCTATTTTTTTGTTCTAGGAATAACCCTGCAATTAGCCAGGGCTTTGGGGATTGGTGTGGCTACTTTTAGTTGCCTCTATTCTTGGCTAAACAAAAAGGCAAATTAATATACAGATGTAAGGACGTAAATCTAGATAAACAGAAATAGAAACAGAAACAATTCCTGACAAATTCAACTAAAAGTCACAAACCTAACAACAAGAACATCTTAAGCTAGGGAATTGGTAGCTAGGCCTTAGAAATGCAGTTCAAGTCCTCCTACTACTCGGTCAGAGTCAGTACAAAAATAATTTGACAGCGAAGGATAAATCGAGATGAATCGAAAGTGCGATATCGGCTGAGTGGTGAAAAAGTGAGGTGTGTATGAAGTTTGGTGCATGCCGCCTCTCTCTCTGTGTGTGTGCTTTCTGTGTGCCTGTGTGTGTGTGTGTGTGTGCTATCATTGTTTGGCCATCGCAATGGTCACGCCCCTGACTGTCTCCTGCCATTAACCCATTGCGATCCACGTAACAGTTGCTCTTTCACCTGATTTCTGGTACTGTTTTGAACTTCCCGTTTTGGTACAATACATCATCAAATACTCAATAGCCATACCAATAATAATTATTATAATCAAGGTAAATAAATATATCGCATTTTAACAATTGAGGACAACATTTGAGAACAAAAGATTCTGTATTCTGTTGCCATCTTTCTCTCTCCCTCTTTCTCTCTGCCTTACACCGTACGCTCTCCTCTCTCTGCTCTCTTTTTCCAGGACGTTCGCTTACGTATATTACACATTCAATAAAATATGCACATCAATAATTCACATTCATTTATCATACATATGTATATGCATATATCATTTATCATTTATTGATTTGTTTATTTGTTTAACCTTGCATCTGTGTGTCTGCCTGCGTGTGTGTGTGTGTGTTTTCTTGAAGTTATTCAATTTCTATCTACTTAAATGCTCAATCTTATCTCACCCTACAGCTATTGCCTTAGCATTCTTTCGGGCTGATGTCAACGAATTGTGGAATTGATATCCATAAAATTCTATTGTTTTCCTACTACGTGCGTGTGTTCGTGTGTCTGCCTCACTGTGTTTGTATCTGTATCTGTATCTGTATCTGTATCTGCACCTGCATTTGTATCTGTGTTATTTTGTATCTGTTCTGCTTACGTATCTGAAGTTAGCTGGCTTCTGTTTTAATTGGTTTATGCGTGCCCGAACTCGTACAGGTAAATTCACATTTAATCTCACATTTAAAATGGAAAAGTTTTCAATTATTTTACAAGCATCTTGGGTTTCGCCCCCGGGCCAACCCTTGAACTCCACTTATGACGCATCCAGCATCAATCCCCCGGCTTACTGCTCGGTTTGATATTCAGATTCAGATTCTGATTCAGATTCAGATGTACATGCCTAGGTCCGCATGGAAGTCCTGCAGATACGAGAGCAGCTGTGAGGGCGTGGGCCGCTGCTTTGCCTCGCAGTGCCAGCAGCAGTTCATAACGGTAAAGCTGAGGGCAGGAGGATGATTAGGACATGACCAGGGGCGGGTGGCATCCAAACGGATCGAGTTACTCACAATTCATCGGGGCAATTGACGGGCTGCTCCAGCCGGAAGCCGGCAGCCAAGTAATTGGTAAGCTCGAATATGTCCACCTCCTCGTGCGGCATCTGGGCGAGGGTGACCAGCTCCCAGTAGAGCACGCCCAGGGACCAGACGTCGCCCTGCGACCCGTACACCTTCTTCTGCAGCGCCTCCAGCGAGAGCCATTTCAGTGGCCGGTTCTCGTTGTCGCCCAGGCAGTCATAGTCGTCCGGGAAGAGGTCCCGCGACAGGGCGCCATCGCAGATCTTCACGTACGCCTCCTCGTCCACGCTGAAACGAGAAAGAGTTGCCAGATGCCGGGTTGCTGCTACTCTCTTTGACTTACTAGCAATTGCGTGTGGCAATGTCTCTGTGGACGATCCCCATTGAGTGCAAGTATGCCAATCCCTTGGTGATGTGCAGCCCGAACTCCACCAGCTGTCGGGTGCTTAGGGCTGTGCTGGACTCTCGAGACTTTTGCAAGTACCTTTGGATATGGGAACACCACGGATAAGTCGAGCATTCCCTTAAATCGAATCAAGCCGCTCTACTCACATCTTTAGGTTGCCCTTGGACGGATAGGGATAGGCAATCTCTGGCGGGCCGGGCAACTCGGTGTTGGCCAGCAGCGGGGCCAGGATGTGCTGGTGGCTGACTCCGATCAGCAGCGAGGCATCCTGCAGCAGGCAAGCAACCTGTGTGAGTGATGCCCCATCGATGACGGTCTTCACCAGAGCGTCACACGAGTCGCCCAGTTTGCCGACGTAGATGCGTCCGAAGGTGCCCTCCCTGACCAGCTGCTCGTAGCTGAGGGCACCCGGCTGGACACTCGGAATGCGGCGCAGTCGGTCCTTGGTCTTCTCGCTGTGACTGGCCATGGTGATGGTGCTGCCACCGTTGACGAAACCCCCAAAGAGGCTGCCACTGCCACCAATGCCACGACTGCTCTTCGGAGTGGACATGCTGCAGGGCTGCAAGGGGAGACACAGAGAGAGGGAATGAATTATGAATCATCAACAGTCTGGCCACATTTTGTGCCTCTGGGGGTCTCTGGCTTTGCCTCCTTAGATCTTAAAGAGATAAAGATTAGTAGCTGCCTGAGACGAGAGAGAGAGAGAGAGAGAGAGAGAGAGAATATTGGCATATTCCGAACAGCAATTACAGGACTTCAATGGTCCCATTCCGCCCAGGGCAGTGTCGAAGAATAGTTGATGAAACTGTATAAATTTCCATATTTTCATGCGCAAGTCAGGAACCGAGTCCGGGTACGGGTCCCGTTTAATTTGGCTCAAAGATTGGCAAACGCTAGCCCCAAAAGGCCCAATGGCAGAGGAACAGGCAAAGACATTGCCAGTCGCAACAGCAATTTCAGCTGCCGGATTTGCATCTTTCGGTTTGCATCCGTTTACCGTTAGTCATGCACTTGGCTGCGATGTGCCCCAACTGCCGGGCTGGCTCCCCCAGCTGCTGCGCTCATTCATTTTAATGAATTGAGTTCCGTTTCCGCTCCGAGGCACTTGGCCCGATGCCGCCCGTTGCCGCCACCTCCCCCCCAAGACGTTCGTTGCCATAATTTTGTCTTGCTCTCCCTCCGCCTCCATTCTCAGTTGTCTTGCTGCATGAATAATTTATTGGCTGGCAAAAAAGCTTTAATTCGCCGAGCATTATGTTTGCCTAGCCCCTCCAGCAGGGGAAAAGCTAGGAGTGGAGTGGAGTGGAGCTCAGCTGTAGGAAATTGCGAGCTCGTCTTGGGTAAACAAAGTCTGAGATGCTAACAGAAGTCGGGAAGTAGAAGCAGGAAAGCAGAAACCATCCTCCCATTTCCTAGTCCCCGTTCCCGTTCCCGTTCTCCTGGCAGTTCCATCTCCAATTTCGCTTCTGCCACTTGGATTCTAGCCTACGCAGCACATTTATTTTCATAAAACCATTTACAGTCCCGAAAACCCGAAAAAGAGAAACTCCGGCTAATAAACACAAGAGAAATCACTTCATTTCTCTCCCTCTCACACGCTCTCAAATCTGCATAACTGTGGCGGGGCTCAAGTGGGATCCTCTGGGATCCCAGGACACTAAATCTTCATCAGAGCAGAGAAACAGCAGCAGCAGCAGGTGGACGTGGACTGCCTGGGGATTCGAATTTTATTAAAAGCAACCGCCAGCAATATGCGGGGAATTATATTATTTGGCGTGGTCCGGCGGCAGTGGCCAAATGGGAGCAGCTACAGGTACAGGAACTGAAGGAGGAGGCGCTCGCCCAGACAGGGCGACAAGGACATTGCTGGCATTCTAGGGCAGGGCCAGGACCAAGCTGGTAACAATTGCAACAATAACCACAACGACAACAGCCACGACAAAAGGCAATAAAAACAATAGTTGGGTTGGCTGGCTGCCTTTTGTTAGTGAATTTCATTTCATGATTGCCGTCATTGCCACTTTCCTGAAGCGGGTGGAACTGCCCGTAGCCCCTTGCGCCTTGTTTGTCCCGACTCGTGGCTTGTTTGTGATTTCTGCTGTTTGTCCTTTATTGTATTTGTCGCTGTTGCTGTTGCTTTTGCCGCTTCTGTCGCTTTCTTCACAAAGAAAATTCAATTAAAACGCAACAATATCGCACTCCATCATCAAAGCTCTCCCTCTTCCTCACCCTCTCCGCTCTGCACCCTACTGAAGGCTAGGATATGTCCTGTATGGTGGTTGGGGATCTGCCATGCTTTGCCTTAAAGGACATCAGGGGGCGGCTATAAATCCCTGTCGCTCAACATGCAAACTGGAAGCAGCCGCACTGCCCCCACGCCGCAAGCCGAGAGACAAAAACAATTGTCTGCACCGGCGACGCTTTTATGCGCTCAGACCTTGGCCCTTGATCCGGCTGCTGCTCCAGGGTGAAAGCTTTTGCTGCTCATTCTCCATTCTGCTTGCTATGTGTGTGCTTTGGCGTTAATGAGGGGCCGCAGAAATTTAATTAGAATTCAGGTAATCGGTTTAGCATTAAACTCATCTCAATGGGAATTGGGCAGCGGATCGATTAATTGTTATTGTTATCTTTTTCCCGATTGGATCAATAAATTCAGGCAAACATTCATTCAGGACGGGGGCAGCTGCACTTTATGCGTATTTCTCTCTTAAATTGCAATCTCAAATTGCCAATGAAAATGTTCATTTGAGAGCTCTGCTGGGGCATGTCTGACTCTAGGCTGGCATATTAAAAGCCAATGTCGACGAGCAGAGGAGACATTATTGCTTGACTTTTCATTCGAAATGGCCAAAGAGTCGAAATATCTGCCAATTGCTGGACCCAACCCCACACTACCCCGCACTCTCACATCACATCACAGATCGCATTTCGAATTGCCAATACTATGATACGATGGAAGAGAGTTTCTATGCTGCCTTGTTAGAACAGCGTTGCGGAAGGGGGTCTCTCGCTTGAATGTGTTCCTGGTGCAGGTGCAGGTCCTGGTCCTGGTCCTTGTGCTGTTAGTCTCTCTACTGGGCGTCAAGGAGATGACAGGCGTGGAGGCAATGCTGATGCTGATGTTGGCTTGCAGCTGCTTTGCTCTGTTGTGACATTTCTAATGACAACACCACATGGCTGCTGCTGCTGCTGCTGCCCTGGGTGGTGGGTTACTTGGGTTGGGGTGTGGGTTGGCCTGCACATGACGTAAGCACAAACAACACACAAAAGCAGCACATAAAACCCACCCACCCAACACCAGTGCACAAACACGGGCCTGACAGGCGTCTGATTTGCTTGTGTCACTTGCAGCTCTACGGCTGCCCGCAGGAACAACAGCCATCTCCTCCTGCTCCTGCTCCACTGCCCCCCCACGTTGCTTGTAATTAAAAACGCTTGATGACAATTTTGGGCCAGGACTGCGCCATTCTGACGCCAGAGTGACGAGCAAACCAAAATGCAACAGAAAACAACTTTTCCACAGCAACAAAACATTTTCGCACAGTGGCCTGGGGCTGTGGTCGGAGAGTGCCAAATATTTTAATGAAGTTTCGGCGGTGAACAACTTTTCACTGGTCAACCAAACCGCTGATGAAATTTATTTTTGAGGCAAAGAAAAAGTACAACTATTATTGTGCAGAAATGTTTATCGCAGATCTCTGTGCAAACTTGAATTTGTTCCGCCCTTTATCGTGTTGCTGGTTCCACTGTGCAGGCCCAAAATGCTTGTCAACTATGCAAATTGCTGATGCTGCTCCGTTTGCCCCTACCCATGCCACCGATGTGGCAGAGACAGAGCGGGTTGAGAATATTACGCATACGACCTGTCGCCTTGGCATTAGTAGAACTGATGGCTGAAGCGGAAGCGGAAGCAGGCGGAGGTTTGATGAAGCGAAGCCAGTCGGGCGGACAGCCAGGACTGGCTCAATTATATTTCAATTTACCTGACAACAAGCTCTCCCCACGCTCCGTTCCTATTCCCGTCTTTGGTAAAGCCTTTAATCAAGGCCCCAGCTTGAGTTCAGAGTTTTTCCGGCAGTTCTATGGTTTCCCTCTGCCCGAAACTTCCATTATTTTACCATTTCGAGAAGAACGATGCTGGCAGGCCGGCCAGCCCAGGCCGGGACTGTGCGCCTTCTAATTTGCTGGGGAAACTAATTTGAATTTCGTTTGATTTATGCCTAATCGAATGGGCCTGCGTCTGCTCCTGCTCCTGCCTCTGCCTCTGCCTCTGCCCCCTCTCTACGTTTGTTCCCCTTTGATGCATGGCATTTTGATGAGCCTCGCTTCAGCCTCGTTAGCCACGCCATTTAATAAGCGTTTCGGGTCGCATACACCGAAAAGGTTCTCGCTTAATGCATAATTAAAAAGCGGCACAGCGGTGCCAATGCTGGTTGGGCGGTTGGCGGGGGGACAGGTATCTACTCTTAATTAAAGGTGTCGTATACTTAACCCAAGTCGTCGCTTGCTTGTACACGCACTTAATCACGCATAATTGCCTTTCAATTAGGCATCGCGTGACCCGGCCACGCCCAGTCCGTGCCCTCGCATTGAGGTCGGCAAGTCGGCATTTTACACTGACCGCACAATTTATACATATTTACGTTAATGCCCCACAGATGTGCCAGATTGCCAGCTCCCAGCTTGTTGACTCCACAAATTAAATCAATTTGCAATTGCCACAGCAGTTCGATGACCTAAGGGAAAATCTGGTGTATCAGTGTGAAAATATTATTGGAAACCAAGGACAGGACTCTTATTCATGGTTAATGGACAAATGTTGTTCCCTAACTCTGAACGAATTATTTCCATGTCGCTCTGTCGCAATCTGACGCCTTAGGTGGGCTCTGCGGTCCTCTATCTCCGTGTAGATGCACTCCACACCACACCAAACCACAGTGTTGGGCCAGAAAAAAATCACTGCGGCTGCGGCTGCGGCGGCAACAAAAGAAACATCCGCCAGTCGGTCAGTGGCATCCGGCTTGCTCTTCTGAGGCTGACAGGAAGCAATCAATAGTGTAATGCCAGACAAAAGCATCCGCCGCAGTTTGCCAGCGGATAAATGATGGTCCATCTGGCTTGGAGGTGCAGCAGAAAAAAGGGGAACAATTTCCACTGACGGGTCGTCGGGTAATTTGTCAACCTTTGGCTCAAAGGGGCCCCTTGAACCCCTTGAAGGGGCCACCTGTCCGGTCGCACACTCACACACAAACTGCCCGTTAACAGTCCATCCTAGGGCACGGCACGCATTCTCTTGCTTTACATAAAGCTTTTGTGGCAAGTGTAAATAATGTTTTTTAATCAAAAAGAACAACTGCGGGGATATCCATTAAGAGAGAGTACGTGTCTCCAAGTTCCACTTCCAACTGGGGACTGGGAACTGGGAACTGGGGAGTGGAATCCGTACCCCAATGGGTTGACTATGCCCCATGCGGCGCGCTTCATTTGCTTGTTTAATTACAAATTTCTGTAATGGCGTGACGACAACATTTTAAATTAGCACCTGCTCTTGGTCTCCATTCTCCCACTGCCTTCTGTTGATCCGGTAAGCCCCATAAAACACCGCGACAAGCTCCTGCTGCTGCTTGACAATTAATTTACAACTTTCCTTTTTGCGCTTTTGTTTTCTTCTCTGTTTTGGGGGTCTCTTTTGGCTTTTCCTCGAGCCGCTATGTCCCTGTGTTCTCCTTAAGCCCTTTCCATCCTGAGACATTCGATTCTCTTTCCTTACAACTCCCGTTCTGAAGGGAACACTGAAGGATCGAATATCCCAATGCCTCACTGGCAGCAAATCGACGCCGCTTCTGCTGCCACTGCATATGGCGTCTGCCACAACCTCTCCCGCGTGTCCACCCCCAGGGAGCCCACTCTCTTTTGTTGTTGAAGCTGCAATAATATTTCGCAAGTGTTTCTAAACAAGCACAAAGCCATGTTTCAACAGCTGTAGTCTGTAGTCCATGGTCGTACTCCGGTTTCTGTTTTCGCTGCCGTTTTTATTGTTATGTTCCCCCTAGCCCCCCTTACACACGCTGCCGTTTGCTAAACTTTTGCTGCACATTAAAGCAATTTGGGCAACATTTATAGACTGATTTAATAGAATTCATGGGGAGTGGCTAGCCATGTGGCAGCTCCAGAGAGCGTGGAGTGAAAATGAGATATTTCCACACAAGTGAACAGAGCAGAGTCTGGTGTATCTGTGTGCACTTGTATGTAATTGTTTGACTAAATGAGTGAGCCCCACCCTGCCTGCCTCTGCTCGCCCACCGAATGCTTAACTCTCAGACATACGAGCTGGAGTTTGTGTCTGTGTGGACTGGGGAATGGGCAACAGAACAACAATAATTATGGCAAGCACCCTCCAGACCCACCAACTCCCCCACACGCCAATCCCCCGCACTATTCGGCGGAACTTTGACTGGCAAAGGATAAGAATGGATAAGAGAAATTCATTTAATTTCTCGACTTTTGCCCCATGCCTCGCATGAGTGTGGATAAAGTTAAATTGATGTAACTGCCATTTGTATGTATTTATATTTGTGTCTGGAAAATGTCTTTAAGAAGTAAATAGACAGATAAGTGTCTCAGTCAAGAAAGTGTTGTTCCTCACAAGCCCTTGTTGTACCATACAGTGTCCAGATCGGGTCGTTTCTTTTGTATATTTTCGCGTACCTTCGTCTCGAGACTGGCCACCTTGATGGCAGCTCGCTGCTTGAAGAACGCACAGCCCATGGGTGTGGCAAAGATCAGCACAAAGCCGCAGAACAGGGTCTGGATGGGAGCATTCCAGTTTGGGTATTTTGCCAGGAAGCCCCTCTTCTCCAGCACATTCATGAGCACCGGCGTCATGGTCATTCCGGGTATGGCCATGCTGATTCTGCTTAGGATAACAGCCGAGATGCCAAGGCAGGCGGCCTTTCTGGACACGCCCATCTCAGTGTTCTTCTCGTCCAGCAGGACGATCCCGTTGCGAATCTCCTGCATGCGCATGCAGGGTATATTGATGCAGTTGCCGGCAGCCACAGCCACGAGTGGAACGAGGCGACCCACCAGCGGATTCATCATCTTCACAGCCCGGTTAAGGGACAGCGCCGTGGCCAGGGCACCGCTGGTGGCCAGGCAGTACGAGGTCAGCAGCTGGGACTTGCTAACGGGCGAGGCACCCGACCGGTTCGTGTAGTTGACGATGGCGTTGAATGTTTGATTGAACCACTGCCAGAAGACGACGGCACGTGTGCTCTGGTAGAAGGCCATCATGCCGCCAGTGATGAGCGTGTTCATTGGCATTTGGGCCGACATGCGGCCAATGATGATCTGCTTCTCCCCCGTCTCCGGATGGAAGGCCGAATCGTACAGGTACTTGGCCTTCCACACATCCTCAATCGTCTCGCACTCGGGCACCTCCTTGCCGGCCCTGTACTTCAGCACAATCTGGCGGGCTTCCTCCAGCTTCTTGTTGCTGGCGAGCACATTGAGCGGATTGGTCACCAGGAAGAAGTGCTTCGCCCTGCCCACATAGGTACTCTGGTCGTATTTGGGCTGATCAATATCCACTCGGGGCAGTGGGGCCATTTTCGTAGAGCAAATTTCGCAAATTTCAAACAATTTAAGAGCACTGCAAATTTTACTCCCGAATTTCGTATTCCATTCTTCAGGGGATAACCTCTCCTTTACCCAGATGGACCAGCAAGGCTGCTGTTCCTCTCGCCTTCGAATGCAAATTTAGAAATACATCGCTCTCAAAATCTTTCGAATTTATTTGTCAGCTGTGACAGACTTCTCCCCACACACGGACGAAGCTGTTCCCCATAATGACTATGAAATTGAAGTCTAAACAAACACAAATCGTTGAGCAAACAATCCCGAGAAGCAGGCCCTGACAAGTCTCCATGGAAATTGAATATTTAATTATGCGTCGATGAAACTTGGTGACGAAAATGGGCTCAGACATCAGGGGACTATGATGATTTAGGAGGAGGAGCTCCATGGTAGGGTACGAGGGTAGAGCGAGTCGAATTTATACGAGTAAAAGTCACAGTCGGAGCTGGAAATGTTTACAAGGACAACAATTGCGATGCTGCTAAATAATTTATTCTAATTTCCAAAAGATTTCTGCAGCAAACCAAAAGAAATGCTCCCCGGAGTAGGGTAGGACATTAGACATCGTTCCACAATCATTCGAGGGAGCTGTGTGCCGGGATACTTGGCAGTTAATTTTGAGGCAAAACTAAGGGATTTATTGGTTAGATAAGTTCCCTGTTTGGGTTAGTTTGGGTTCAGTTGATAATTTGCACTCTGCGGTGAAGAGCGAACAAAAGCAAAGATACAGAGAAGCGGCAGACTGTCTGCGTCTGAGTCTGAGTCTGAGTCTGCCTCCATGGAGCACCTTTTGCTTATCTAAACATTTATCCCCTCAGCCGCCACATCTGCTGAGGCAGCCACACTCTCCACTCAGCCACACGGGAGTACTCCCATCACATCCTTCACCTCTGCAGGCAGTGGGTTTGTGTGTCGTGTCCTCACCCACGTCCCACATGAGGTGAGCACGGCTACGTGAGTGCCGCACAAAACTTGCCCCAGCCAAGGATACTCAGTCTCTCCAGCAGACAGCAGTCAGCAGTCCTTGAGGGGGAAGGGGGCAGAAAGGTAGCAGGGAAAGCCGCATATTTATGAATGGCTCTTGGCTCTTGTTTCGAGTTAACGCACTGCGGGAGCTTTATCAGCTCGTAAATATAAATTAGAATTTAATTTTTATCATCGAGGAAAGGTGGCTGAAGCGGAGGATGGGTGCGTGGCCTGGGGAGCAATCGTGTGGTGCTTGGGACAAATTAGAGTGCTGGAGTGGAGCTCCCATGGCAACCCCGAATCGAGACTTCAACGGGATTCATTTCCATCTCCATTTGGCTGCCACGTGCCGCAATATTTCAAAGGCTTTGATTTACCCCAAGGGCAGCCACCCAATCCCAGTTCCAGTTCCAGTTCCAGCCTGAATCTGAATCTGAATCCCATTTCCAATCCAAATCAACCCCCCCTTGGGGCAGCTCTAATGGGGAGATAGTTCTCAATCTGCATGGCACTCACCTGGGTCAGCTGCGAGGAGGCATAGTAGGATATCCTCGAGGGACAGATCGACTCTGGCTTCGAGTAGATTGTTTCTCCGGTCTGCGTCTGGTCCCCCATCGGGAGCAGGGCGGTGGCGTAGGGCGTCGGAACGGGGGAGCTGCGGAAACCTGTAGAGTGGATTTGGATTTGTATTTGGAGTGCGTTTCGGCAGTGGTCAGTGAGGAGGAGGGAGGAGGACTCACGGTCGAATATGCTGCACGACTTCTTCGTCTCCCCGGGGTATTTGTTGAGGCTGGCGATGGTCGCGTAGGAGCCAGTGGCACTCGGTGGCCGTCCGAGCGGGTCGAGGCGGATGAACACGTTCTGGTGGCTGCCGTAGGCCGCGGTGGTGAAGCTTGTACTGCGGCAAAGGAAGAGGTGTAAGAAGGTGTAAATGGCATTGGAGGAGGAGGATGGATGGATGGATGGATGGATAGCTTACTGCAGCGAGTCCTGGCGAAGCTGCTTGCGAGCCCGCAAATACATCATGCTGGCCACGAGGCCCACGGCCAGGACCAGGCCGAGAGCACAGGCTGCGGCACTCAGCAGGGCAGGGCCCTGGGAGGGTGCGTGGGCGGGGGCTGGCGATTGGTTCGGTTCGGGGGAGATGCCTGTTGATTGGACCAGATGGATGGTGATGGATGAGAGGAGTGTTCAGTGTTCCATTCGAGTGGTGGAATGGCGATGGACACCTACCCTTGGCACAGATCTTGTTGCGCTTGAAGTGGAGCCTGGTGTCGTTGAAGCGCGGGGGTCCTCGCACCACCATGTTGACGTTGACGGGCAGCTGGAGGCTGGCGTTGCCCGTGCATGGCAGGTACACCAGGAAGGACTCGATCTCCTGCGGCACCAGGCCCTTGTGGGGGATGCTGAGTGTTGGGGTGCCCAGGGCGTCCTGGTCATTCGCGTACTCGATGCTGATGGCGTAGGGCAGCTGTGGGAAGGGACTGGTTAGTGTCCATGTCTAGGGGTTGGCCATGTCAGTTCAGGTGTCTTACCGGATAGGCGATGAGGCTCTGCCAGGAGAACTCCAGCTCGTGCACGTCCGCGGGCACCGGGACGGTGAAGTGCATTGCGTATGTGTTAATGGATCCCTCGTGCACGTAGAACAGATCCGCCTCGAGTCCTGCGAAGGATAAGAGAAGAAGCGAGAGACCAAATCAGAAGCAGAACCAAGGAGCGGATGCGGATGCGGATGCAGTGCAGACCTAAAGGGAAAGTTTCCTCGCAATTTGCTGTGGCCCACCCCCTCCATTAGTGTGGAAACTCTGGGAAACTCCAGGACTCCCCCTGCTGAGCAAACTTTGTGCATTTGCTGTTTACTCTCCCCTCAAGTCCCTTTGCCGACGCCCTTGAGCGGAAATTGATTTTCACTTCGCCACAAAGGAAACAGTCGAAGGGTGGAGGGCGGAGGCAAGGAAAAGGTGACAACACTGGCGGGTAAACAAAACCCAAGACACAATAATAATCGAAATCGAATCCGTCACCAGCAGCAGCAGCAACAGCAGGAAAGTCGCGACAATGCGGGCCTGGGATCTGGGATCTGGGACTCCACCAAATCAGAGACAGAATGGCGAAAGGGAAGGGTCGGGTTGGATGTATTAAAAGGTGTCAACTGCTGGAATCATTTTTCGTTTGGATTCCCGAAGAGTTCTGGGGCCCAGTCTAATCCTCTCTCCCTCCACCCTCCTCCTCCTTTCCGCACGATGCCAATGAAAGACGAGCTGCTTGAGTTAAAACGACGTGAAATTAAATTTCTTCATCCGCTTTCAATGTTGCTGCTCCTCCCCTCAGTCTGTGTGGTGCAATATTTACTTCAGGGGATCAGAATAAGCTTCGTCCTCTCCCGCTTAGCATGGAGCCAGTGGAGCGGGGAATGCTGTTTGGTCTCTTCAACTTTCCGCAACTTCTGCTCCGCTCCTGACTGTGCCTCCGCTTCAGACTTTACCGGATGTTGAATGTTGCGATTCCGCTTCCGGCAGACTGGAAGAGTGGATGGGTGGCAGAGGCAGTGGCTGAAGGAGTGTACCTTGCATTTGGAATAGAACAAAGCGAAGCGCTCATCGTGCTGCTTAAAACAATTTTAAATCCAATTACAGAATAAGAGAAGCGCTTTTCGTTCGCTTTCATCCTCCATCCTGCTTCTTTCCATGTTTCCTCCACTCTAAACATCTTCATCTTCCGACTGATCCAGCTCCATTCCCTGTTTCTATTTCCATTTCAGTTTGGATTCGTTTTAGAGTCCCAAATTGCTTTGCCCCCCACAGCGTACGCTGCTCTAACTCTGCCACAGACTCTCTCTGTCGCAGAGTGGCACAAGTGTGGCACTTTCCTTTGGCTTTGCCGCTGGGCGGTTGCGAGTACTTTAGCCACCTGGCAGCTGGTAGCACTTTTCTCTCACTCACAGCAAAAGGTTCCTCACCGAACATAGCCCAAAAGTGACTCGATTCCCCCTTAAATATGCACAAACAGACGAAAAGGACAGTCATTTCTCCTGTCAAAGGGCAAACCTGACAAACTGCTCTGCATGGAGAGGGTGGATGGGAAATGCACTTGCGACTGCCTCAATTAATTCAGTTCCCTCATCTCGATTGGCCTCTTTGGGGGGGGCAACAATCGTCAAACTCAAACTGCGCTTTAAGTATCCAGAATTGGCATTCCCCGACCCTCCCACTGTCGCTGCCCAAGTTCAACCTGCCGCTGGAGTATCCTCGTTCTCTTCCAAGTATCTACCCCTCGCTCTTCTCTCCCTCTGTTGCCGTGTCAAACTTTGCTCGTCTTTCATATCACGCGCTCCTTGCCTTCCTGCCGAACTTTTCCTGCAAAAGTTTTCCTCGCTTATGATTCTCCTTTCCCCCTTTGCCGTAATTATAATACCTGCGATTGCGATTGTCTGAATGACTCTGCCGCACACACGTGACGCTGCAACCACAACTGGCAGCGATGCAGAAGGTGGAAGGAAGGGAAGAGACTGGAAACTGGAGAGGATTGGCTGGAGCCTCTGGCTGGATGGTGGAAGGTGGAAGGCAGTCCCGTGATAGTTTCCAGCTCTGGCACAGAGACACAATTTGCATAAAAGATTAGGAGGATAATTAGTGTCATTAGTGCGGAGACAGCTCTCCCCTTACCCCTTAGCCCCTCACCCTCTCTCCCACTCAATGCACGGGAAGTGCAGTGGCACTCCTTGTCGGCTGATTAAAGGGGAATCGGAATGCCAGACATTTCCTTGTAATTGTCCCACGAATCAGAGGCGAGAATCGCCAAATTGGAACAGATTTCTATGCCACCCTCGGAGGCAAGGCAATCATGATGGATTCCAAGTGTCGAGCCACCCCAAGGGATGGGTAGGTGGGGGACACATTAATTTTGAGATTTTCGGACTGTTTTCTATTCATTAAAAATAATTTTGTTTTGCATTAACTTTTCATTTTTCAGGGGAATATTTCCTCCGTTTTTTCCTCTCCGAAGGTTGACGGTCTGCTAAAAGGGGGTGCACTGGTGGGCAGAGGGAAAGAGGGAAATAGGAAAAGAGGGAAAGAGGAAAATAGGAAAAGGAAAAGTGTGCACATCAAAGCGAAACTTGTTGAAATTGCATTTTTACGCACCCTTGAACCGGGAAAGTCTTCAAGGAGATGGAGTGGCAATGGAGAAGGGGATGCGGGTTGTTGGATGCAGGGGGGAGTGGGGAGGGGAGAGGGTGTCAGTTTCGCTGGCAACGAATGCGGAAAACGAGGAGAAATTGCTTTCGTTTCTGGGGCAACTGGAGAACTGAACAACAGAAACCAAATTGAACTCAGAGCAGGAAATTCTTCAACAAAAGCGTAAAAAATATTTAATTTTAATGTTGTCGTCACTTCATTGAAAGAGAGAAGGGGCAAGTGGAAGGGGAGAGGGCTGACTGGTGGCAATCGTCGAACTTTGTTTACAGTTCCACGAAACTCACAGACACCGAAGAAAGGAAGGAGAAGCGCAAAGGATGCAACGGAAGATTCCCATTCCACATGCTGGAACATGGAGGCTCTGCCATCAACTGGAGTCTTTCTTCCACCTGAAGAGTCGTCCACATTGAGTTGGAGCTGAGGGAGAAGAGGTGTTGCCAGGGGGAGTTTTGGGTCAGTTTTCTTTGATTTCGTGCTGACACTTAATTTTCCAATGGGAACAACAACAACCCCGAATCCACAGAGCAGGCAGAAGGTGCTGGTGTGGGCAGGGAGATGGGAGAGGGGTGAGGGGTGTTAACTGCCAGTTAAAAACATAACGAGCTACATTGGACAGAGGGGTTGGGGCAGTTGGGGGGTGGAACGACGCGAAAGCAGAGAAAATCTCGATGAAATCGAAGCAAAGGAAATTGCAATGAGCAACAAACAAAGTGGAAAATCTTTTGAGTTGTCGCTAATGAAATGCGATTTGCATGTGCCGGTCAGTGGGAGAGCGGTGGTGTTAGTTGAGAAATGGAGAAAGAGAGAGGGAAAATAAGAGGAGTGAGGTGGAGTCGCTTTGGCAATCGCTTTGGACAGGAAGGTGCCTGCATTCAAGCCCCATCGACCTCGAATGCAATCGAAAGCGTACAAAGGCAGAGTGAAGTGGAGGGAGTGGCGGAGAGTGAATGCATTTCAATAGGGGAGCAAGCGACTGAGGTGAGGAGTAAGCAGGCGCAGGAGTCGCTCATTCCATCCATCCATCAATCTATGTTGTTTCCGTTTCCATTGCCATTTCCACTTGATGTTGATTTGGATTATTTTTGGGCCATCAACTAATTAAAGTGCCTCTGATTTGGGAGCTAGGAAACGGTGGGCAGAGGGTAATATACAAGGGGGTTGTGGCAGAGGCATAGGCACTGCCGAGGCCTGCATAATGAGATGGAGGCTTTTATGCTCCAATTACAGTTAAGTGCCGGAAAATGCTGTGACCAACTAAGCGATGAATGATGGAGTGGCGGGGGCTAGCCAGCAACTAGGACACCTCTCCACTCCAGTCCCCCATCCCTCCTTTACTCACAATTTCCATTCGGATTCCTGTGATCCATTAATCAACGCGAGGAGCAGGAAATCGCGAGCCAAACGACAGGCACGAGGCCATGCCGCTGTGGCATATTGAATGAATCCTGCCTTGTCTTTCACAGGGAAAAAGACTGCAGAGGGGAGAGGCAGAGGAGTTGTCTTGGCCTTGGCTCGATCTGGAGCCGGCGCCATCAATAACAGGAATTCGCGTGAAGCAACAAACGGAGAAACAAGAAAACAAACAACCGAAAAGCAAAACAACACGGAAAGTGGAGAGAGAGAGAGAGAGAAAGAGGAGTAGGGTGGGGTGGATAAGCAGGGGGTGTACGAGGCAGCAAAAGCTACTTGCCGCTGTCAGCAAGGAGGGGGGGAGAACGGAACGGAAATCGATTTGTGTGCGATTTGTTCTGTTTTGCTCCCACCTCCGGCAACTCCTCGCTCCATTGCCTCACACTGCTCCACCTACTCCCACACCCCACTCCCTGGTCAAGTATAATTTCAGAACTATTAATGACTACGATACGGTACTGGGACTTGGGGGATTGCTTGGGGTTTGTTTTGTGTGTTTCCGTGTTGTGTTCGGTGATCAATGAATGTGTCCTGTCGCACTTTGTCCCCCAACTATTAATCATCGCTCATGGTGGCAGGGGGGGAGCGTGTCAGTCTGAGGTTTGTCTCCAATTCGAAATGTGGTTTTATTAGGAAGTGAACTTACCCATCAGTTTCATCACCTCGTGGTGGCTGATGAAAATGTTCAGATAGCCACTGACCAGCGGCGCCCGCCAAGTGGCCAACGAGAGGCAGAGGAGCAGCAGCGGCAGCGGCAGCGGACGGTGACGTTCCCTGTAGCTGGCCATAACTAGATGCGTAGGATGCACCGGGGCAGGATAGCTAGTGGGAGCAGAGAGGAGCTAATAAATTGTCGGGGCATGTGCCCAGCATTTCAATGGCTACACTTCTCCACCTACGCTCTCGGGTACCCAGTGTGGAGGAACTTTTCGGTTCTGCTAAATACGTTTTTAGTCCAATGCAAACGATGCAACGATGGATGTTGCTCTGAGAGAAGCGCCAAAATCAAATTCCAACTGCTGCCAACAGTTCCGGATGGAAAGGGTTGGTGGGATCTGGGGATCTGTCTGCCCAAATTTGGAACTTTTCAGCCTCTCCTTCCGCCTGTGGCCGCCTTCACATTCCTCTCTTTTTTGGGCTCTGCCAACTTTTCCTGTTTTGTTTCGCTTGCGGCTGTTGCTGCTCTCCGTCTGCTTCTCCTCTTCTGTTTGCTGCTCCTCCTCCTCCTCTGTCCGGATTCAGCTGTCGCATCCAAGCCGCCTCAGCGTGTCCACCACATTCGGGTCTGGCAGAGTTTTCGATGCTTTTTATTGGCTGAGCTCCTGTGAACTGTCTGCCCCTGATCCTGCTCTTCCTTCTGTGTTTTCTGCTGTTTTGTTTTGTGGTTTTCTTCTGTCACACTGACCACTCGACAGCATAGAGAGCCTGTCCCTATCCCGTTTTGGTGTCCCTCCACAGTGTATATTCCTCTTCTAGCTGCTGTTCCTGTTGAATAGAAAGTGATTTACTTTAGTTTGAGAGTCGAGAAGCTGCAACAGAAGTTGCAAATGCAGGCGAGGATAAGGAAGGGTGCAGAAGGGATTAGTGGGGGGAGGTAGAGTGCGTCCTGTGGTTGACTGATTCTCCGCCAGAGTCAACAATTTGTAAATGCGAATTTCAGGGAATAAAAAGTAATTATAAACTTAAAGAAAAGATTAACAGCTCGGAGGACTCCTGGGGAAACTCTGTCAGAATTCACTTACATCACACACACACACACACACACATTTGTGGCAGTGGGGGAAGGGGAAGCTGCTTTAATAAATTTGTGGTAATATTTATGTGTTTGTTTGGCATAAATTATGAACTGCAGAAAGGGAACCAACAACTTTTGGCATTCGAAATGTTTGTGGTTCAAGTGGTTTGCCTTTTCCCTCCGCCTGCTGTGGCACTGTTTATTCAGCTGATCCTGCCACTGCTGCAGCCCTATCCTCCCCACAAATCCTGCTGGTTGCGTGTGCAGGTAACCTGAATGGAATTCCAACTGCAACATGGGGCAGGTAGGAGAGTGAAGTAATTGAAGGAATTGGCAGCTGGGGAACAGGAACAGTCAAGTGCCCCCAAAATGAAATTGTTGCCAAGAAGCAGAAGCAGCAGCAACTGGGAAACTGCCCAGAAACTCGCTCCAAAATCTCCATGGAAATGCTCTCCACTCCACTCCTCTTCTCAGTCTCTCTCTCTTTCTCCTGCCTCTTCTTTTTCTAGCCGCAATAAAAATCGAAATCGGAAAAGTTTGTTGCCTTCGCTTTCCCATTTCCCTTATCCCTTTTCACTCTTTCCCCGCTTTGACTATTTGGGAAATTCTAAAGTTTTCCAAGCAGCAGATAGTTGTGGCAGTGGGCGCGGCCAAAGAATTCTGTGGCCATTTTAATTAAACTTATCTGCGGCCACAAAGTGCCGCAGGATGCCAAGATGAAGGCACTTGATTAAGAGGCAGATCAACATCAACATTACCATCGGCACCACCATCTCCATCTCCATCCACATCATCATCATAATCATCATCATCCAGAGAAGGATAAGGAAAAGGATTCACATCTGCAGCTGTAGGACGAATCCTTCGGCTGTCGAAGCCATTCAGCGAATGCATTCATTAATAATTCAAAAGACAAACAAACGAAATGTGAATGTGGGGGAGTGTGCCGAATGTGTGTTTGCTTTGGTGGAATCTCTCTCTCTCTCTGTCTGTAACTGATTTAAATGGAGCAGCAGACATTCAGCCAGCAGGGCGCACTTCCAGGAACAACTCGCGAGGGATGGCAGGATGCCAGCTCCCCGCTTTGGTGGCTGGTGGTTCCACCATGCCAGTCGATAACATATTAACGACATCGACTCAATCATAATCAGGAATGGAATGGAATATTCCAAGGAGTACAGCAAAAGTTACTGCTAGTCACACGCATCATCTGTCAGTCTGCCACGCCTCCGCAGCTCCATTTGCCTTCTTGGGGGAAGTGACAGTCCCCACCGAGGGAAGATGATGATGATATGTGCAAAAGATGAAGCCATAATGATTGCCGGGGGATGCTGGAAAACTTTTCAATTACTTGCCACGAGTTGTAGCTTGGAGCTGGTGCGGTGGCTGGGGGTGGAGGAAGGTGAAGGAGCTGTACCATAAGTTGGATCTCTAATGAACAATAATCATTGCTGCTGCTGCCTCTGCCAACAGCCTCTGCTTCCATTTCCCTGCTAATATACATCGATATGTATTATTTTCTCTGGCTTACCCGTCTTTACCCCTCTCACCGCAGCGGGCCTAGATTGAAAAGGCTGCCACAGCGAGACGGCCCGAGGCTTCCTTGCCGGCTCGTTTCAATTATAAAATGGCTTTCGCTTCTAATTGAATCGCGGGGTTGTGGCAGAGGAGCGGTTGGCAAGGGGCAGGGGGGGCGCAGAGTTAATATTTTATTTCCAGCGATTGAACAGTCCATCCCCACCTCCATTTCTGAGTGCCTAGGCCCTGCCCTGTGTGTTTGCCTAGCGTTTCCAGTTCCTCAACCCCAAACGCCAGCTTCTGCCCCACCAACCCACTTTGCGGCCCCATTCTTTGTTGCTTGTTGGGAGTCAACAGCCGCGGGACATTCTCGAGTTGGAGAGTGCCTGCTGCCTCCTTCTAACGATAAACAACGTAAGGGAGTGGGAGTGGGACATCCGCCTAGGATATCCATCTCCTTGACTATTAAAGCTGCGACAGGATGAAATCTATTTGGATTGCCCCAAAAAAAAAGGAAACGAAAACAAAAACAAATTTCGCATGCGAGTGAGTAAAAGTTCCTGAACCTCCAATTTGCGTTTTGCCAGCGGCTGATCATTTTTGGTATAGTTTTTTGGCCCTGAGCACTCAAAATATCGAATTGCACTGCTCTGTTATTGGCTGTCTCATTAAATTTAAATGCATTCCCCGTGGCTATTCGGTGTTTGGTTTTATTTGGAGAGCAAACAAACGCGACTTCCAGGGTGGACTTCATTAAACTCGTGTAAATATATTCCACTTAATGTTTCGATGAAATGAACTGCAATTGGAGTACGCACAGACCCGTCGTGCTGCCGCAGGACAAATGGCTGGCCATAAATTTGGATAACTGATTAAAAGAATGGAGCGACAGTTGGCTACTGTTTACCTGACATTTCGCAGTTCGCAATTCGCAGCTCGGATTGTTGTGTGTTTAATGCGCAAAATGTTTGCCAAATGGGGAACAGGCCTCGCCTGCCACTTGTTTTCCTGCCTGTCCTGGCCCTAATGTCCAAAATGTTCGTTGGCCTGGCTAATTTGTACAGCAATTAATTTACATTAGGGAGAATGGGCGCTTCAACTGGCAACTGGCAGAGGGGCAGAGGGGCCGGCCAACAATTTGTTTCTTTTTTGTTTCAATTTGTCGCTGCGCTTCGACAAGCACACAATTCGGGCCTGCCTTGCCCGCCACTCCCCATGAGTGGCCATTAAATACGTGTACATAAACATGCCCCAAATTGTTCTCGGCCCATAATGACAAGCATTCCTGATTGTGGACTGTGGCGACTCGACTACATGGCCCTGCAATTAAATTCGGAATTTGTGCAATTTCGCACGATGACAGTTTCCACTTAATGCCAAAGCTGCTCTAATTACAAAGTGTTTTCGCAGCAACTATTGCAATTGTGCACCCCATAAGCTTGATAAATAATTGATATTTGACGCCATTTGATGTCAGACGTTGGCCTTTTATTCATGACCAAAGTATTCACATTTTGTGGTACGTTTTTATGATCTCTCGGATCGAAAAGAATCAAGCAAATCCCTTAGTTACTCTTCGAACATTGTCACGTATATCAAATACCTTTTGTTTTATCCGTGTGCCGGGTATAAAATTGACCAAAACTGGCCATTTCAAAACCACAACTGTGGGGCGAGCACCGCTCCCGAAAGGCTTCAGTTTCTGCTCGGAAACCAGATCAGAATTTACGCCAGAAAACCCAAGGACTGACCGCACCAGCAGCATCTGGATGTAAGCAACGCTCGTTCGTATGCGAGTGATTCCATGGCAAATAACCTCATAATGACCATCTCACATATCCAGTGGCTGATCCAGGTCCTGGGCCAGTGGCAGCTTACAGCCAACTGCCCGGTCTGCAAGGGCGGGCAGCCATTCAACATGAAATACAGCCTCAATTACGTTTTACGAGTTTAACTCAACACCGTGCGGTGTGGTCCCATCTCTGATGGGAATTTTCAATATTATGTGGCGTAAATTTATTGTGCAAAGTGACAGAAAAGGAGCCAAGCGACACCACCCAGGACTTTTATCTGCCAAGTGCCATAAAAGTATCTCAGCGACAGAGGGCCATTTTAAAGCCTTGGGACGGGTATGCGGATGGGAAAGGGAAAGATGGCAACGCCAGCGACCACGACAACGACAACGACAACGACAATCCCCAGCCCAGACAATGGGCAATAATCATTGATTTATGGCTGTCATTTTGGTTATTAAAATGATATTTTGAAAGCCAAACGAGCAAATCTGACTTGGCAGGCCGACTTGGGTGGCTGCTCAGACATCTGAGCCTGGTATATGGGTCAGGCTCCCTCGCCCCCCTCTCTCTGTGGACACTTTTGAGCTTTAAGCCTCTAATTGAAACATCAAGCAGAGTGTCCCACAATTGAGCGCTAAAAGCGTGCCTAATCTATGCATATTTTTGCCATAGACCCCTAATCAGGGGTCGGGGCGTGCGCCATAAACTGGAGCAACGCGGCCAGGATGTGGCAGGGCTGAAAGACGAAGAAAGTTTTCTATGGGCTCGACATTTAGTTTCACTTTCTTGTTGTTTGGGTCCGGCAGCACTTGGGCATTCAATCAACGTGGACGTGGACGTGGACGCTGTCGTTCCGTGTCGTGTCGAGGCGTTGGCGTGCAAAGATTTGTTGGGATGGGATTTAATGGACTGGGGTGTGGGGGTGGTGCTAAGTGGCGGGTCGCCCCATTCAAAGCTGGCCAAGCGCAACGAAAGATTTGCATTTTTTGCTCTATTTTTTTTGGGTTGCTCATTTTCAATGGGTCCACTCGGACTTCAGGTTGGAGCTCTACTTAGGGGCTTGCATTACAGCTTTTTTATTGCCTACTTTTCAGCACTTTGTGTGGGACAGCAACGCGTTGCAAAAGGAAAGCTTTTAATCTCGCACATAGTAATTAGTGTCAGACGCCATGTCCACCCTCTACACACACACTTTCTCCCTGGGTAAGTTCTAACAGTCACGCAAGGCGACAACAGAACAGCAGCAAAAAAATAGAGGAGAGCAAAACGTGTTGGCTGGGTTGTGAGTGGGCTGGGGAGGCTATGAAATTATTTATTTAGTTCCAGTTGAAAGTTTGAAATGGGTGCTATTGACTGTGACAGGGAGCGGGCGGGGGGTCCTAAGCGTTGCAGGGGGCGTGTCGGGTTTTGTAGCCATTTGAGGGCGAGCAAAACACATTAAATGCTTACTTATCAAAACGAAATCAGCTCTCCGGCTGTCAGCACTCGAATGATGTGGGCCGATTCACAGACTTAATCCTTTCACGAGGCGATTGGACACAGACACTCGACACTCGACACTTAATACACGCGCAACACCTCACTTGGTTCTCGGCTTTGATTGCGGCTGTGGTTTCTGATTGAGCCCTGAGCCAGAGCCTGAGCTTTATTTCGATTCACTGGGATGCACCTGGAGCGCCTCTGGGGGGAATGACCACAAAATAACCGCAAACTGAATAACACGGATGATAGCGATAAACTCCGACGACAGCCACAGCAACGATGATGATGACGTGGGCAGGGCGGGATTTTCTTTATTAATTATTTGGTTTTTGGTGTCGCGGGAACAGCTTGTTGTTTTGTGTCAACGATGACTGGACGGACGACACTGGGGCCGCACAGCGACAACTTCGATAGCGACCGATTGCGAGTTCCGTTCCGAGTGTTTCGCGAGGTCCTCGAGTGACCGTGTGTACGAAAAAGTGGCGAGCGACTGAATCAGGCAGCAGGCAACAGAATCCTGGCGAGCACTCGACTCGCCTGCGGCTCGGCTCGTCTCGTCTCTGCTGTGGGCACATGCGCAGAGCTACGGGCAGGAGCGGCCGGGAAGCTTTGCCGAAATGCCGGCAGTAAGTACTTTCTGCCGCCTGCGGGGCCTTTTTGGGAGAAGGGTTCTAGGGCAGGAGAAAGGACAATTGTTTGTTTTGTTGCTGCCCGTCTGCCACATGCAACTGTTGCGCATTTTTTTTGCAAATGGCCAGCCATAAAGGTTGTTGTTGTCGTTGTTGTTTATGATTGCACTCTCGGGCCTGTGTCGAGTTGCGTTAATGTTGTGTCGAGTTCTGGTTCGTGTAAGGAAACTGTTCAGCGAACTGGTTCACAGTTGGCATAACGATAAGGAAATGTTTATTTTATTGTTAAAGTGTGACACAATGGAGAAACTTTGGTCAGATCTCTCGCTTGGCTACCTCAAGACCGTTTGAGACAGCGAACTAGTTCCGGTGCTAAGCAACACTGGGAAACGCTGGAAGCGCAGCGTGCCCTCGAGAGTGATTTCAGTTGCATTTTGGGGCATGTTGTGTGGTATGTTTGCCGTGTGAAGGATGGGAGTGTTGCCCCTCGAGTGCGTTTTGGGGCCCATCCGCAAAGAGGTGGCCATGGAGACCATAGAGTTGACACACACACACAAACACAGAGACTGCCTAAAGTTTATCTAATTGTTGAAGTACATAGAGTACAGGGGGATATGTGTCCCTTTTTGCTGGTGCTTGTGTGAGTGGAGAGGCTGATGGATGTATGGCCCTGACAAGTAGCCCTCTATTTCGTAGCAGCAAATTCAATTTGTCACTCAAAAGCCAGCGACGAAACGGAACAATTTGAGTGTTGGAAACAGCCAAAGGAGCCAACGGGAAACAATCTTCCAACTAATTAAATAAAACGAACTCCGAACTAAGCAAATTGGGCAACTTGTCGCAGTAATTACATCAAAATATCTACAAATAAAAGGAGGCGCCAGGCGCGGGACAACCAAAGAGCGAATTCTGCACAAAAGTCCAGGCAAAACAAAAAGGAGGAAGGCACAGTAATAGAAGTATGTACTTCTCGTATATATGAGCTCTGTCAGCTTGATTCATTTGGCAACAAAAAGTTTGGGCAGCTGCCCGGGCAACGGGGAAGGGGAAGCGACAGGTCCTGTCCGGCTGACAGATGGCCTAGATGTCCATTCTCGAACTTGTCGCTGTGTTGTGGGGTTCGGGAGTTGGGGTGGGAAGGGGAGGGGAGGGTACAAAAAATTTTTACGACAAAATGCTTAATTTGCTGGAAAAACGAATGTCAATTAAAATTTTTTAATGAAATAACTTTCGTTGATTTGTTCTCCGTCCCGTCCCGTCCCGTCCCAGTCTGGACGGGACATGGGCGGACAGCTAGAGGAATTCAATTAAAAAAGGTTGATTAGTTCGCTATTAGATCGGTGGGGCATGCCTCATTACCGAAGCGACAGGATGGCCCCCCCACCCAGAGCGCACCCTGGGACACTTTTAGACTTTTAATTAAGGCCAAAAGTCCGTCGCAAAGCAGAAAAAATCGAAAAGAAAAACCAATTACAAATCATAAGAAGGCCTTTCGAAATAATTGAAATTTTCATGGCTAACCAGGCATCAAGCAGCGACTCATGGGTAACCGTGTCAACCCCTTTTCAATTCTAAGCACAATCAGGACAATCCGCTGCCGAAGAAGCTTTTGGCGCTCGGAGCACGTGACTCAAATGGAGGCCATTAAGCTGGCTTCAGGTTAATGGGCAGTGATAAGGCCTCGATTTCTCAAGGGGCTGCCACCAGCCACCGATAACAAACCCGACCACCAATCCCAGCGTGCAACCGTGGGATTAAAAGCGTGGCAAGCACGCCTCCAGTTCGAGACTCATTCCACTTCCAGGCAATCGCACGAAATATGGGAGCAAAGGCTGCAGAAGCCCGGGAGAGGTTAACAACAATGCAACAAATGGCAGTGCTAAAGCGGATAACGGACACAATAAGCAGCCACAGTAGTAAATGGAAGTGGAAGTGGAAGTGGAAGAGCACTAAATAGTTGCAGGAACTGCAGAGAAAGCTGCCACAGAGTGCCAAAGTTCACACCAACCCCACAAGGGAGGTGCACAGGGTGAACAGGGATGCGGGTAAGGAAAATAATGCGAGAGTAAAAACAAATATGCGGCAGAGACTTGGCTGAGGATGTGTGCGAGTGGCAGCCACGCCACGCGAGCCACAACAAATAGAAGAAAATGGAATCAAATCGCAATAAAACGAAACGAAACAAATATAAAAGAAGAGAAGAGCATGGAAGGGAAAACTAAACGGAATCCCCCTAATGCGGCATGTAAACAGAATGGGCACGTGACCTGCAAGGGTGTAGCTGGGCAGGGCAGCAGGAGGCGGAGTCTGGACAGGATAAACAGCAAAGTTGCAGAGCAGCCAACAAATTGCCGCTTGAAAGTAATCCTGACAGGCGGCAGATTGTTGCGCCATCATAAAACCCCGTCGGAGGTGGACACGGCCATTGAGACGGCGCCAGGATTCAGGATCCATAAAGGGAAGCACTCTGCGAGTTGGCAGACATTGCACTGGCCAGAGGGAGAGGCTTGAGTTGTGCATTATTCACACCTGCACGGACCACACTGCCAATTGCCATTGCATCTGCGATTTCATCTGCAGTACGAATCGACTGGCTGTCAAATCAAACATCTTTGGAGCAATCTTCAGTCGAAAAGCGAGGAAAATATGACTGGCCAGCGAATTGGTCTCTTCGAACCATTTGGTTGCCAGCATTTGGTGACTTCCTTCGTTGCTGCCACTCTCTTTGTCTGTTTGCTACTTTTATATCATTTCCAGTTTAAATACTTTTCGTTTTGATGGCCATCCTCGTCCGGGCCTCGTACTGCCATTCCGCCAGGATTGCCTCACGTATTTCTCAACTGTTAATTAGCTCGATAAATGTGAAAATAATGAGCGAGTGCGGCGTGCAAGTTATTTGGGAAGCAGCTTTCGAGTGGGCCAATGACTCTTGGCTGGGGCAAAATGTGTTATTTCATGTCAGACAATTTGTTGGGCGCTTGGCCCTACTCCGGCGTCCAATCAGGACTTTATGGCCAGAAGTTATGAAGTCCGAAAGATAATAATGCGCCAACACTTTATGCTTTCTGCTTGGCACTAACTCAAATCCGCCAACTGCCGCCAGCCGCCACCCGCCAGCCGACAGCAGCCTCAACCAGCAACAAGGCCAAGTTTGTGCGAGTAGTTTTTGGGTGGCGTTGGAGGCAAAAGGGGAAATAATAAAGTTAAGTGCACTGCAAGAAAACGCTGCCAACTTCCGCCGCTCCGTTCCAGTGCAATCAGTCACGACAATCACATTTTACGATATTATTATTGCCGAGCCAAACTAGAATCAAAGTCGCAGCCAACTTTCAGTGCCCCCGAAAGTCAGCCAAGGAAATTGCTTGCCTCCCATGCAAAGCGGCAAAAGCGCCTCGGGGGTGTCGGAAGTGACGGGAAACTTTCATGGCCACACCAGACTCGAGGACAGACACCAGTGGAGAGCAGTGGACGAAGCCATGACAGTATTGGGTGGCGGCCAAAGAGGATGGAGACAGCCGCAACATGGAAAATCTTTACATGGGATGAACGAAGGAAGAGAGGAAACTTCTTAGCTGAAGCCTTTTATTGGTCTCCTTGGCTGGATGTTGCTCCACTCTTACAGGGGGAAGAGGGAGTCCACCGAGTGGCGGAGCTGTACTAAAGTAAATGAAGCGTGACGCTTTGTTTTCCTTTGATTTAGTTTTATGAGTCTGCATCGGATGTAATTGAATTATGCAAGTTGGCGCCGCCGCCACCGCCACCGCCGACCGACGGCAGACGACTTTATTAGCATTCGATCGTAAAGTGTGTGGGAACAGGGGGATGCAGGGAGATGCAGGGGGTTACAGAGATACGGGTGAAGGGATGATGACACGGATGATGTGTCTGTGCAGGCCGGAAGGCAGGATACAGGCGGACTCAAACATGGTTACGCTTTTTAGCAGTGATATTTGAATTTCAGATGATTCCCCCTCATCACTCGCAATGAAATGAGTTGGAAAATATGTGGAAGTGGAGACAGGATCCTGCATACTGCAGGATAACAGCAAAGGGAAAAGGAAAGGCACTGCCACAAGCCGTGGCACTGATAAGCAACCCAATGAATCCGCAATTCGATGGCAATGGATTCTCCATCGAATGAAATCGAAATCGGAATCCATAATGAAATGACAATGACAATGTGGCGTGGCGTGGAACAAAGCGAAGCTCAGCCTAATTGACACAAATGGATGACGTGTGCTGGTTCCCGGGAAAGAAACAGAAGTCGACACTGAAATCGGACTCGGATAAATGGCCATGGAGCAGTCCAACAAGGGATTGCTCTCTGGTCAACTCTCTGGAGAGCTCGATTCGTCAACTGCCTCGAAGCATCTGCAGGCGGTTTCTGTTTCAATATTCTGCGGCATATGCCCCTTCCAATCCCCTTCCAATAATTAATATGTGGGTCGCCATGGAGACAGGGTAGCTCAGGTGGAAGTCAGTCGGGGTGGAGTGTCTGTCCATCGAGTGTGCAGCTGAAGAGCATCAACCAGAGATTTGGAGGAGTGCTCAAAGCAGAGACAGCCCCCTCCTGGGGCTACCCATTACTGTTTGGTGAACTGTCAAACCGTTTTGCTCTTCACGAGGATTCACGCAGGATAGGGATGAGTGGGAGAACACTCAGTGACAAATGGGAATCAGAACCAAGCAGCAGTGCATTCCATGGATGTTCCAATTGGGAGCTGTTTTTTCTCGTGTTCAGATTCGATGGGGTGGAGCTGTGTCCGACAAGGACTAAGCTGTGTCGGACGAGCCTTGGGTCCGGCATCAACAGGCAGACTGCAGAATGGGATGCAATGG